TCTTTTCATCAAGAATGCTTGAAAGTCCTCTGTTTCATTGAATGTCCTTTTTTTTTCTCCTGAAGAATTATATTCAGTTTTGCTGGGTAGATGATTCTTGGTTTTAATCCTAACTCCTTTGACCTCTGGAATATCATTCTATACCTTCTGATTCCTTATTGTAGAAGCTGCTGAATCTTGTGTTATCTTGATTGTATTTCCACGATACTTGAATTGTTTCTTTCTGGCTTCTTGCAATATTTTCTCCTTGACCTGGGAACTCTGGAATTTAGCTATAATATTCCTAGGAGTTTTCCTTTTGAGATCTCTTTCAGGAGGTGATCAGTGGATTCTTTCAATTTCTATTTTACCCTCTGGTTCTAGAATATCAGGGTAGTTTTCCTTGATAGTTTCTTGAAAGATGATGTCTAGGCTCTTTTTTTGATCATGGCTTTCAGGTAGTCCAATAATTCTTAAATTATCTCTCTTCAAATTATTTTCCAGATCAGTTGTTTTTCCTATGAGATACTTCACATTTCTTTTTTTTTCCCCATTCTTTTGACTTTGTTTTAGTGTTTCTCAAGGTCTCTTGGAGACATTAGCTTTCACTGCCCAATTCTGATTTTTAAGGAATTATTTTCTTTGGTGAGATTTTTGTTCCTATTTCTCTCCCCTGCCCCTCTAATCCAGCCAGTTCTGCTTTTCAAAGAGTTGTTTTCATCAGTGAATTTTTGTACCTCTTTTTCCATTTGGCCAATTCTGTTTTCTAAGGTTATTATTTTCTTTAGGTTTTTTTGTGCCTCTTTTACTAAGCTGTTAGTTGTCTTTTCATGATTTTTTTCTTTTGATTTCATTTCTTTACCTAATTTTTCCTCTACCACTTTTATTTAATTTTTAAAATAATTTTTTAGCTCTTCCAAGAATTCTTGTGCTTGTGTCCAATTCACTTTTTTTTTTGAGGCTTTGCTTGTAGTAGTTTTGACTTCTTTGTTTTCTTCTGAGTTTGTCTTGATCTTCCATGTTACCATAGTAACTTTTTATAGTCAAGGTTGTGTGTGTGTGTGTGTGTGTGTGTGTGTGTATGTTTGCTCTTTGCTTATTTTTTCACCCTATTTCTTGATTTAGAGCTTTATGTTAATGTTGGGCTTTGTTCCTGGTGTGGGGCATGGGAGGGGTGCTGTCTCAAGCTTCAGGCTTTTTTCCCCTGCTATTGTTTTCAGAGCTGTTTCTGGGGGTATGGAATTGGTACTTCTAAGGTGGTGTGATCTGGGGAAAGAGGGGGTGCTCACTGCTGTCTTGGTCTGTACTCTCATCTTTACCTAGGAAGGGACCCTTGTCCCTTGGGATTGTAATCAATACTGTTTCTCAGGGCCTTCTGTCTTTGGGACTAGAAATGACATTGTTCTTCAGAGTTCTTGATCACTTGGGACCAGAAGTGATACCGCCTCTCTGGGTTTCCATTTCCTTTTGACCAAAAGTGCTTCTCTCTGCCCTGTATGCCCTGTAAATGGGTATAGGCAGTGGAGTTGCCAAACAATGTCTGGTCCTGGGTCTAAGGCTAGCACAGAGGTACCCTATAATCTTGTTCTTACCAGTTGTCATGTTCCCTTACCATCTCTCACTTGAGAATTCCTGAAGCTGCTGATGCTTCTTTCACCATCACCTGTATTCCCACCACTGGTGTTTCATCCTGGTGGGCTCTGGGAGAGATTCTACCCCCATGTAACAAATCTCTTTCCTACCTTCTGTGTTTTCTCGGGCTAAAAGAATGTTTCACTCTGACCTTTTGTTGGTGCTGACACTCCAGAATTCAATTTGAGGCATTATTTTAAGGTTGTTTGGAGGAGAATGTTGAGAGAGCTCAGCTAAGCCACTTTCTACTCCACCATCTTGGGCCTTGCCCCTTAGAGCTTTTAGTTAGAATAAGCTAGAAAAGGCCAAATCTGGAACCAGGAGAACTGATGATGAAATGTTTCTCTTCTCTTAGTAGAGAAAACTATGGGTATAGAATGTGTCATGTCTTGGTAGTTTTCTTGATCAGTTGGTTTTGTATAACTATTGCTCTTTGTTGTACGGGATTAATTGTTCACTTGGAAGGAGGATGGCATAGCAGTAAATGACAATGATGAAAAAACCGAATGACCTCCAATGTTTAGGGGAAAAAAGCCAAGCGGGGTAAAATTTGCTTTCTCTGTTGTTACCTAATTCTTGCTTTGAAAGTACTTGGCAGACAGTTTTTAGCATAGGCTCTGCTGATTTATTTTATGACAACAAAATTTGTTATTCCAGTTAAAATTAATATGAACCATAGTTAGTTAGAATGAACCTTAGAGATTTTGAGTTCCAAAGTTGTCCTCTCTCCCTCTACTCCCTGTCCCCAGGAAAGCATGCAGTCTGACATAGGCTATACATGTATGATCATATTAAACAACTTTCCACATCAGTCATGCCATGAAAGAAAAACCAGAACAAAAGGGGGAAAAAATGAGAAAGAAAAAAACAAAAAAAGAGAGAGAGAAAATAGTATGCTTCACTCTGCATTCAGACTCCATAGTTCTTTCTCTGGATGTGGATAGCATTTTCCATCATGAGTCTTTTGATTGTGTTAGGTCATGAAAACCCAGTATTTATAATGGAGGAGAGCTCATATTACAGTATTTTTGTTTACCAGAGTCAGTAATTTATTATCTGAAAGATCATGAAAAGACACTGAAATGAATTGTCCAGCATCAAAAGGTGTAGAAATGTGAACTAAGCGATAGTTAAAATGAAAATCTGTCAGTTTCCTCAAGATAAAAGATTTTTGAGATTTGCCTTAAAACTGGATCTTTACCCCAAATGTCCCTGCCAGGCATGGTCACACTTCCTACACATTTCCTGAGAATCATAACAGGAATTTCTTCACATTTTTCTTAAATTAAGTAAAAAAAAAAATTCCACGTTTTATGTTTATATCATAAATCTATTTTTGCCACTATTATCTAAATCAGATATTCTTTAACCAGGGATCTGTGAATTTGTTTTTTATAAATACTTTTCAACATAATTGGTTTCCTTTTGTAATCCTAAATGTTTTTTGCGTTTTAAAACATTTTGTGAATGGGTCTGTCTGTAGGCTTCACTAGACCACCAAAAAAGGGGTACATAACACAAAAAACTTAAGAACCCCTTATCTACATCTTTGTTTGAAAACCTTTCTATATCTTTATTAACAAGTGCTTGTTAATTTGATTGTGTATAAGCTGAGCATTATGACTTAGAGGTGGTGCTCACCATTGATGATCTGGACCATCTACATCAGTTTGAAGATAAAAGTCATCATGATCTTACCTATAATCTTTTATTACAAGTACAGTAAAATGGAGGGGAGATCACAGACTTATATCTAATTGTTTTCTGAACTTAAAAAAAATTACCAAAGATTTAAAGAAAAGAAAATTGATGTGAACTGTGTTTTAGAATTATGTCCAGTCTTCTTAAGGATCTAAAATTATCTAACATATTTTCTTGATAATTTTTATAGCAATTTTAAGCAAGAGGTGGGTGACAATCCCCACTGAGTCCAACTCTACCTCCTTCATTATATTGTCTCACATTATTTAAATGTATCTTTGTCTTATTCTGGTTTGCTTGTTTTTTTTTTTCTCTTGGCCAAGCTCCTTGGAGAAGGGCTATAATTGATAAGCATTCCAATGCTTGAAATGTAGAGAAGAGAAGGTTGTTGAACAGAATACAGTTAAATTTCTCTCTTCAGTACCATTCTGTTCCTTTATTTCCATAGTTGCTGAAATTTTTCTTCTTTAGAACTTGCCTGTGATTAATTAAAAATGCTAGGAATCTCCTCACCTTCTTTTCCCTTCTCTAGCTATGCAGGGCCTGATTTTCCTTTACTGGAGGCACACAAAATGTTCTCTTTGTTGATGCAACACTCAATTACAATAATTAGTTCATTTTAAGCCATTATATATTCACTAAATATTCCTCCTCTGTGGCCCTAAGGAATCTATTTTAGAGAAAAAGTTATGAGTTTAATAACATTTACCATAAGCCCCTAGTTGGTGAAATTCTTAATAGTTAGGCAGAAGTTAGGTTCTCTATCTAAATTTACCCTGATAGATTACCTCTAGTTAACCCTTTCCCCCTTTCTGGTGAAGCAGAATTTGGTTACTAAAATGTTTGGCTAATAAAACAGCAGATTACATTGGCATCAAGAGGGGAAATTGGATAAGAAAAAGCATACTTTTTCTTGAAACTTCTTAAACTGGTGGTGTTAATCCTAATCTTCTGCTCTAAGATGTGTGTAGAGCCAATGGCTCTCCTTGATAGGTCTCTAATCTGCCATAGAGAGGGGAAGAAAAAGATAATAAACATTAGGTACCAGGCACTGTGCTTAGTACTTCTTATGAATATTATCTCATTTTATCATAACTCAGTCCTATCTTCTCTTTCTCCTTTGGCTGGTTGCCCCAGGGCTATTAGTTCTCAGCTCCACTCTGTATGACCCTGCTCCCTCCTTTCTACTTCCAGACCCTCAAAATCTATCTGATCTTGAGATAGTTCCTTCCTTTTCTACAAATTTCTTAGGACAATACCAAGTTTCTCACACAATGGCTTTGATTGATTCTGTGAGGTGTACAGGTCTTTTTCACACTGTGTTCTAATTTCTTTAATCAAGAAGTGTTCTAATCAATCAGTGGATATTCAGTGGAACAGCACCATTACCCTTACATTGATAACATATGTGCCTAAATTTTTACCTAGCGCAGAAGGCATTTAGTACACTACCTGCCATCTAAAAAGCACTTAATAAATGCTTTTTTATGTATGGACTGATATGGTCTCAGAAGTTTTTTCTCTTTTAAAATGCAGTTCCTAAAGATCATTACCCCATGCCAGTTTAATTTCCCCCCATGTAAATGTGAACTGTATCATTGGAAATTAGCTCACTGAAGAGGGCACTGTTTTAAAGCTGAATTTAACTTTTCTTTGAGCCATATTATTTATTTGTTCTGTTCATCCAGACAGGCATGGTACGTTGTGATACAGCAGTTGGAACACCTGATTACATATCACCTGAAGTTTTGAAGTCACAGGGTGGTGATGGCTACTATGGACGAGAGTGTGATTGGTGGTCTGTAGGTGTTTTCCTTTTTGAGATGCTTGTTGGTGAGTAAACACATTTTACTGATCTTCTTCCCTTCTGTCCTCCTCCCACTCCACAACATTTTACTTTGAGAGCTTGAGTAGACAAAATTATGTGTGTGCAAGTCAGGTCAACAATCATTTAAGTGCCAGGCACTGTGCTTAGAATGAAAAGATAGGCAAAAACCAGTCCTTACTCTCAAGGAGCTCAAAGACTAATGAGGTAGACAACATGAAAAGAACTATGTACAAACAAGATATCTGCAAGATAAATTGAAGATGATCCCAAAGGGAGAGCACTAACATTAAGGGAGATCAGGAAGGGCTTCATGCAGAAGGTGAGGTTTGAGCTGGAAATGGAGGGAAGCCAGGAAGCACAGATGAGGAGGAATTATGGGCATGGGGGATAACCAATAAAATGTATTCCAGTAGCACAGATACTGAGGAATTAGGTGATGGAATGTTTTATTCAAGGAATAGCAAAGAGGCTAGTGTCACTGAATTATAGAATGTGTTGGGGGGGCAGAGTGGAGGGCTTAAAGTATAAGAAGACTAGACAACCAAGAAGGGGCCAGGTTTTGAAGGGCTTTAAAAGCCAAACAGAAGTTTATACTTTGTCCTGGAGGCAATATGGAACCACCAGAATTTATTGAATACAGGATGATTTGGTCAGACTTGCACTTCAGGAAGATCAATTTGGCACCTGACTGGAGGATAGCCTGGAGTGGGGAGAGACTTGAGGCAGAGTGACCAGCCAGGAAGTTATGGTGATACTCCAGGTTTTTATGAGAGATGTTACCAAGAAGGTGAAATTGAGAGGACTTGGCAACTGATTGGATATGGGGAAAGAGAGATAGGATTTGAGGGTGATACCTAAGTTCTGAGCCTGGGTAGCTGGGAGGATGGTGTTGCCCTTGACAGTAATTGGGAAGTTTGGAAGAGGGATGGGTTTGGAGGGAAAGATAACAAGTTCAGTTTTGGGCATGTTGAGTTTGAGATGTTTGTGGGACATCTATTTCAAGGTGTCTAATAGGTTGTTAGAGATGGAAGAATACAATTTTCAGAAGAGAGATTAGGGATAGATAAATAAATCTGAGAGTCATCTGCATAAGGTGATAATTGAATTCATGGAAGATGATGAGATCACCAAGAGAGATAGTATAGAGGAAGAAGTGGAGAGGTCCCAGGACGTACCCCAGAGGGGCACTCAGTGAACAAGATGCAAAAAGATCCTTAAAAGGAGACTTGGGAAGGAGTGAAGAAGCCACGGAGGAGAAACCAGGAGAGAACAATATCGTGAAAACCTAGAGAGGAGAGAGTATCAAAGAGAAAAGGATGATTAACAGTGTCAAAGGTGGCAGAAAGGTCAAGAAGAATGAGGATTGAAGAAAGGCAATTAGATTTGGCAATTAAGAGATCATTGGTAACTGCAGAGATCTCTTTCAGTTTCATGAGATCAGAAGGCAGAAGTCAAGAGAGTTAAGAAGAGTGAGAGAAAGGAAGTAGAGGCACTGATTGTTGTGCTTGCCTGTGATGACCTCATAGCAGTTGTATCTTTAAATAAGGTGGGGGTCAGAAGGACTCTGGTACTTACTTGTAATTAAGAAATATGGAAGATGAAGCAGAATTTTAGGAGAATTTGATTAAGTTGTGGTTTGGATGTATCCTGTCTTGTTAGAGTAGTGGACTCTCTCAGGATTTATTTCCGGTATTTAATTTGAGTTAGAATGGAGTATGGAAAGAATCCTGCTAGGAAGGAAGATTCTTAATTTTCTCGTAAGAGCCTTTCATGCTATTGGCCAACGAAATATAACTGTAACTGAAGTAGTTTCTATTCTTGTGTTTCATAGATCAAGGATGATGGTTGAAACATTTTATTCCTCAGAGAATCATGAAATTTTAGAACTAGAAAGGATCTAGTAGTTAATTTACCCAAATCTATACATTTTAAAGATGAAGAAACAGAGATCCAGCAAGTTTGATATGCCCAGGATCACATAGTGACAGTGCTAAGACTAGAGCTCAGGTCTCTTGATTCTCACTTCATGGTTGTTTCATTGTACCATGAGATCTTTGATACTCATTTTAGTAGGAAATAACAGCACTTACAAGTTGACATTTGACCAAGAGTGGTTTTAGTGCTTTTTTAGGTAACTAAGTATAGTCCTATACTTAGTCCTATAGTCTGGGACAAATTTTGTGAAGGGTCAGGGTTTGAATTAGATTGAATTTTAAATTATTATATTTAAATTATTATAATAAGCATTTATACTTTGAGTTTCTAAAGTTACTGGTCACCAAATGTAATTACTGTCTCCTCGTATGGAATTGACCTTATCTAAATGTTGTTGCTCATTCCACTTAGATTATTTGTGTAATGCTTTTTAAAAATTTTTTAGCCCAAGGAAAGCAGACTTTATTAGAAAAATGAATCTTTCTGGTATTAGAGAGATTCATCCTTTATCAGGTGTATTTCATAGTTAGATTTTAATAAGAGAAAATTTAGAGTTGGATCCATAAATATTTCTCTTCTCATTCTGACCAAATCAAGATTTGAACAACTTTAAAGATATTTCTTTTTCTCTCTCTGTCTCAGTACTATTTTCCCCCTTGGTTTCCCCTAGTTTTCTTCCCTTCCCCCCCTTCCTTCACTCTTCCTTCCCATAGTGCCTCCCATCCATACTCTCTCTCTCTCTCTCTCTCTCTCTCTCTCTCTCTCTCTCTCTCTCTCTCTCTCTCTCTCTCTCTCTCTCTCTCTCTCTCTCTCTCTCTCTCTCTCTCTCTCTCTCCTCTCTCTCCCTCCCTCCCTCCCTCTCTGGAGTAGGCAATAAGGAACCCAGTGCAAGAGGCAGGAAGAAACATGTGCCAGGCAAGTCAACCTCCCCACCCCACCTTCATCATCATCTCCAATGAGGACAGCTTAGGACTTTGAATTCAGGAGCATTTGGAATAGCCATGCTTCTAGCCCAATGCCCTCAACCATTATCCTGGGAACCAACCCCTGTGGACATACAGCCTGTCTACGACTTCTGCATATACTGTAGTCGCAGCTAATGAAAACCCAAAAGAAAGAGTTCGTGCCACCAAAATCCTTGGCACCATCAAATGATTCAGTATCAGAAACTGATAAGATTTTTATCAGTGGAAATGACATTAAAGAGGAAGCATTAGTCTCTTCTTTGCCACTGCACCCTGAGTACCATGGGACCCTTCCAAATTAATTGCAGCCAAAACTTTTCATATATGTTGTCTTCTCCACTAGAATATGAGCGCCCTGAGAGTAGAAGCTGTCTTACATTTTCTATTTGTATCTTCAATGCTTAGTACAGTGCTTCTCGTATATTGAGCACAGAATAAATGCTTTATTCTTTAATTTCCTTGTTTTTAAATACATTGGTTCCATAAAATCTTGCTAAAGGTTATCAGAGACTAAATTAGATGGCTTCATCAGGACCACTTCTCATAATGAAAATATGATAAAACTAATACTTGTATAATGCTTAACTTGCAAAACTTAAAAGGGGAATGCACTGTTTTATTGGATAAGATGGTTTCTAGAGAAGATGAGCCTGAAAAAAAAAATTCACTAGTAGAAATGATTGTAAAAATAGTTCTCAAGGATTTGGAATAAATAGCTAATAGGAGTAGTAGGGCTTTCTTCTTGTAGTTTGAAGTACCTTCCTCAGGTGCCAGCTCTTTTCTTTGATCTCTTAGGCTGCTGTTATAGGTATGCAGAACAGATCATTTTATCTTTCTTCTCAAGACGTCAGAGTGTGACCCAGTCAGAGAATGGCCTACTTCATTTGAGGGCTTTGTTTTATAGTCTTTGTACTTGTTCTTTTTAATACCTTCTTTTCCCAGCTAACTAGTTCTCCCTCTTCCATCTGATGATGCATTAGAGTAAATCCAGTATCCTTTTGTTGTGTATCACCATGCCTACATTCTAGTTCAGAAATTAAAAAGTATTTTCTTAGAAGTAGTAATTTAACTTATTTGGAGAAGGCAGCTATCTTTCTTTTACACTTTGTTTAAGACATAACATACCCTTTTTTATAACTTCCCCATAACCCCACTTAGAACTGTCACATTTCACTGACTCAATTGAGTTCAGTGACAATGATGTGCTGTATCTCTGAGACTGGTTTGTTTCTCACTAAGTTTCTTGGATTTAAATTGCTACTTTGGACTCACTATAAGGAGGATCCCCAATAGGTTATGTTTATATATTATGATTATGTGTCATATTTCTGGACCTACTTAGGGATGGTTCTCTCTGGTCTCTAAAAAATTACCTATATCCTCCTTGGGGTTTTGGGGGAGTGGGTGGAGGGTGAGTCAGGGTGGTGGTAGAGGATGGGGGCTACTATACAGTGGTAGGGAACCTGTGACCCAAGGCCACTTGTCCTTCAAGGCCACAGGTTCCCCACCCCTGCTGATCTGAGCATTTAGTTTAATTCAGGACTAACAGAATTACAATCAAGAACATTCATGGAACAAGATGCTCACTCATTGTTAAGGCAGTAGAAGGGCTGTTAGTTCCTGTAGTCTGAAGGTGAATCCTTAAAAAGTTAGCCCTAATATCATATCCTCAAAATTCAGGGAAGGAAAGTTAGGATACAGACAGAAGTTTAAGCAAAGAAGAACTGATTCTTTTCATGAGCTCAGAATATTTTTTGGTTCAATTAAAATTCTCCACATTTTTAAAAAACTGAAAACTTAGTAAGAATTGAGCAGAATTTAATTTGATCTGATCCAATAATGTTCATCAAATTGAGATTTTTTTAAATTTACCTGGCACTGTATCTTTTACATCATCATTATCCACATCCAATGAGAAATAAATGAATTTGAATTTTGCATCTAACATTTATTTCTTTTAATATGTTTCTAATCAATTGACTTTTCATTATTTTGTTATCTTGAATTTTAGGGGATACTCCATTTTATGCAGATTCACTTGTGGGAACATATAGTAAAATTATGGATCATAAAAATTCACTCAATTTCCCAGAAGATGCAGAAATATCCAAGCATGCAAAAAATCTCATATGTGCTTTCTTGACCGACAGGTAGGTATATATTTACATTTCTTTGCAAATAAATTCTTTGAAATTTGTTATAAACAAATATATAATCAATTCCCAATTATTAGCATGTAAAATAATCTAGAATACCTAATCACAATGCATTAGAGCTGGGAGAGACTTTGAAGGTCATCAAGTATAATTCCCTCATTTGATAAAGAAGAAAACTGAGACCCAAAAAGGGGAAATTAATTTTCCTAAGTCATAGGGTTGAAATCTAGGTATCCAGTGCTTTTAAAACTTTATTTGTACGTTTCATTATTAAGAGGCACTATGGTGCAGGGATGGGGAGTCTACAGCCTCGAGGCCACATATGGCACTCTAGATCTTCAAGTGTGGCCCTTTGACTGAATCCAAACTTCACAGAATAAATCCCTTAATAAAAGGATTTGTTCTATAAAACTTGGACTCAGTCAAAAGGCCATACCCAAGGACCTAGATGGTCACATGCAGCCTCCAGTGCACAGATTACCCAACTCTGTGGTAGAGATGCTACTTTGGAGTCAGGATGATGACCTGAGTTGAGATCTTTTCTGTGACTTAATGCTCACTGTGAGATTTGCCTGTGGAAGGTTGCTGAATCTTTCAGCATTATCTTCACTTGAAACGAGGCAGCACTCTTTGAGTTATAGGGTATAGAGTAATTGCTGACCTACATTGATAGGGGGATTTCCTTTTTAAAAAGTAAGCATATATAGAATAAAATAATAAAATAAGTATATGCAGAAAAATATAAAATGAGTAAATCAAGTACAAATTAATACAAAATAGTTTCATTACAAGGTAGTTTAAGAAATAGGACACACTAGCATCTAAGAAGATTGTTCTTCAGTTTCTTCCTTCATCTGTAAAATGGGGCTGAAAATATTTGTCATTTGCCAGGTTGTTGTAAGGATCAAATGAGATAATGTGCATAAAGTTTTTTGCAAACCTTTTTGTTTTGCAAATAGAAATGTTATACAAATGCTTGTTGTTATATGTTGGCTTTGAGGATAATCCGAATTATTTAAAAATTCTGGGTTAGCCTTTTCCAACTGCTCTGAATGCTGTTGAGTCATGCCTTATCAGTCCACCAGAATGAAATTTATTTTGAAATGAACCTAAGCAAACAAATTAAGAAGGTAGCCTTCTAAAAAACTAATCATATAATGCATTCTGAAGACAGTTGTTCTTTTGAATAGTCAATACTTTTGCCTCCTTTAATAGGATTAATTGTACTTTCTTAATTGAAGAGAGCTGTTTGTGTGGCAAAATGCCCCAAACATACCCAAACTTTAAAATCATTTCTGTTTGTCCTTAGAATGCTTTTAAACTTATGTTTGAATATGAGACATTGTGAGCTGCAAATTTATAAACTTTTAAAGCTATGTAATGGATCCATGCTTTGAAGACCAGTGATTGAACTAAAATGCTAACTGTTCTACTATTTCCTTGTCATCATCATTTATTAATATAAACACAACATACCCTTTTAGGTGAATGCAGGATACTACCATAATAAGCCAGGAGAACTAATATGCCAACTTTTGTTTTATGACTTTCAGCAAATCAGTTACTCTCTCAGGCTTCAGTCTCTTTCTCCGTAAAACGAAAAGCTTATATTCATCTTTCCTATCTATAAAATTCCATGATTTCCTTCTTCTTTACTCCATGCATTCATTGTCTGTCTGATGCATGTCCCTGGGAATGGGTGAAGTATTTAGATTCAAAAGGACTTTCCGAGTAGCTGAGTTTTAGATTTAGCCCAAATTGTAAATAACTCAAAGGTAAATTATAATGGAGCTAAATTGAGGGGAGAGAGAAATTTAAATGTTTAATTTTAAATTATTCAATTTAAAATTTTTTAATTTTTAATTGTTACTACATGTTTAACAATTATAGTGAAAGTTTTGTGAGAAACAGAGTTAGTATAATGTTAGAGGAATAAGCACTGCGTTTAGAGTCTGAAGTCCTTGTATCTTGCCACAGTTACTTATACCTTGTGGGTCTGTGAGCAGTTTATCTCTCTGGGCCAGAATTATCTCATTTGTAAGAGGAAATCATTGGATTAAATGATTTCTAAAGCACTTTGCAGGTTGATATGTTCTTTATAGTCTGTTCCTGCTTTGAAATCCTTTGAGACTCTAAGATAAAATGAGCTTTATAGATAATCTTTGGATAACATATATTTTTTGTTACAGTAACAAAGCATATATTTTTTGTTATAGTAAAGAAATGACCCAACAGTTATTTGGACAGTGTCTTAATTTTTGTTCCTTATATTATTGAAAACACTGGCATTTAAATACATACAATCGTGTATATGCAACATAAAAGTTTAATCCATGCTTTTTGTAATATCTCTGCCCCTTTCCAGTGATTCCTGCCTTTAACAAAAAAGTACAGTTAATCAAAATAAAATGACACACTAATCTGGGTAACTCATGCCTCATTCAGCACCTATAGCCTATCACTTTTTCTTTTTGCCAAGAAGAGGAAGGCATAATTTGTTACCAGTCTTCAGGAGGGGAAAAAAGAATAGGAATTTTGACGTCTAAATTATTTATATATCTTTGAGTCTCACCTTATTCAACTCTAGCCTCCTTTCCTCATACAGTTTTATTAAATTTAAATTGGTAATAACTTAATTGCTCTAAATGGTGAAAGTCTAAAGAACATTAGCAGAATGTTGGGAAGAAAACATTAATTTCTAACTACTGATAAGCAAGTTTACCTGTTGTAAATTTGGAATGACTGATACTTTAACTGCAGAATGCTATCTCTTTGTTTGGGAAAGAACATTTATTTTTATTGATGCCTTTTGCTCTTAAACCACAGTCATTTCTGGATATAGCATCACTCACTTGCCCATGAGCTCTCCCATACAACAGAGTAAAATAGTTAAGTAAAAACAACTGATGGTGCCTGTGTTTGTATTCAGTATGTTGTACCTGTAATCCTCTACCTCTGTACTTAATGAATGAAGTTGAAATGCTGTCTTTTTTTTTTTAATCTCGTGGAGTGTGATCTGTTTCGAAAAACAAGCAAAAAACCCCAATTTGTATAAGCATGTTGAGTGAGGCTTCTGTAAAGGAAAGGAATTCATTCATGAAAGGGCTGCTTTAGTAGCTTTCCCCCTACTTCTGTAATTGAAGGAATGATTAGCATGTAGCGAAGAGATACTTAAGTGCAGTTTAATGCCATAAATATGGCCAGGAGTACTTCCCTCAAAATGTGTTCAGGTTTTCCTGTTTATGTTAATCATAACTCTTGGAATTTATTAAAAACAGGCACTTCCTATAGTTATGTGATTACAATTGAGGCACTTAAAGTAACCAAGGAAGAATGAAGTTATTTCCATAATTTATCTCTGTCATACCCAGAGCCACTGCTTTTATATATAAATAGAAGATAGTCATATGTAGAATTTTCCATTTTTTAATTTCTTCAAATATTTTGGCAAAAATACTGAGAGTTCTTGTTTAAGCAGAAGGGGTGGTGGAGTTTTTAAAAATATAAATATCAGAAAAATTTTGAATAACTCTTCTGTGTCCTAAGCCAGACCTCCCTTCGTGTACCTTTTATAGTTGGTCATGTGGTTTGGCAGCCTCTAAATTTATGGTTTAATTTTTTTTTTTTAGTTTAAAAGCTCTGTACTGTGTGTGCTTTCTACACCAAATTGAGATGGAAAAATGTTTGCCCCACGTGGCACATTTACCCTTACGGCCATTTTGGTGTATCTTTTGAATGCTGATAAAGTAACTTTTATAAAATTTGTTCCTAACTTTTCTAACTCTGTTTTGGATTTAATAATTAAAGGGATATCAGATTACTGCAGAAAGGAGTCTATTCATAATGTAACTTTGAATCAATTGGTATGTTTAGGGAGGTGCGACTTGGGAGAAATGGGGTAGAAGAAATCAAACAGCATTCTTTCTTTAAAAGTGATCAGTGGAATTGGGATAACATAAGAGAGAGTAAGTATTTCAATTAAAATATATGTCATATCATCTTAAAATTCGTAAGTTGATACCTATTTTGGATTAATAAGGATATTCATTTCTAAATTAAAATATTTCTGTGTACACTTTTGCTATACAGCATTTTTTATAATTGAAATACTTTTCCTACTGTTTTAAAGATGTTATTAGAATTATAGTTCTACAATGTCAAAAGAAGCCTTTAAATTTTGCCTAGTTTAAGGAATTATGAGAATTTTATCATGGTATAAGGAAAATAGTCTCTTAATTAAAATGTAATTAAATGTATTAATCAAGTATTATTTATTGAAAGACTCTCCTGTGTGACAAGCATTGCTAGGCACAATGAATTTATTTTAACTTAATTCAAGTTTTCTATGAATTTTTTTACAGATGGAAGGTTATAATGTAGAAATGGAAAGATTTCATTTTTCTACTTTAGACTGACTTTAAAAAAACCCTGGCAGTTGTAAAAAATTTTATATTAACTATTTGCTTCAGAAAAGAGGTGTTTTTATATGTGATATCAAACCTTTCTTGAAGTTTGTGCAAAATTAATGTGTTACTTTGGCATCAGATTTTTATCCTAAAGCAAGTGCTTTCTTAATACTGTTATACTAAAGGGACAAACACATGAGAAAGAAAATGTTCAGCAGATTAAGGTTACAGTGGGAGCATTTGTTAAAGTTAGATTATTTGTTCCCTTTTTTTAGTCTCGGGTAAACGTTTGCTTCCTGGTGTCTTTCTTGGTGCCTCCTTTTTAAAGCAGATCTAATATTTTAAACCTTTCATTTTTCTTTGAAATATAAATTTATATCAATATAAAATATATAATCAAAAACATATAGTATGTGATATTGCCAAATCTATCAAAAGATGTTTCCTTTTACATCTTGAGAAGTAGTAAAATCAGTAATTTATTCTTTCCTTATAGCTGCAGCTCCAGTAGTACCTGAACTCAGCAGTGACATAGATAGCAGCAATTTTGATGACATTGAAGATGATAAAGGAGACGTGGAAACCTTTCCAATTCCTAAAGCCTTTGTGGGAAACCAGCTGCCTTTTATAGGTTTTACCTACTATAGTGAAAATTTGTATGTAATTCATTGAAAATAGTGTTTTCCTTAACTTACAAAAATTTTGCTGTCTTTTAAATATTCAATAGATTGATTTTAGTTTATAATTTTCAGATTTAGAATGTGAAATAATTAATTTTATAATATTGAAACAAAAATATTGTTAATTAAATTAATTTAAAAATATTGTTAATATTTTTAAGCCCAGAGACATCTAACATAATATGTAATCAGAGGTCTTATACCTCTGCACAACTTTACACAAAATAGTTTTGTTCACTTACTTTTATTATTTCTCTTATGAGTCATTCATTGAACAAATATATAGTAAATGCAAGACTCTAATAGGTATTCTGGAGCATACAAAGACAAATGATAGGCCCTGGCCTCAGGAAGTTTCAAATTGAGTAGGTAAAATAAGACAAGTGCACAAGTAATCTAAGAAAATGTTCTTAGTGCAATGCAGGTTCAGAGGAGCTCTGATTAGACCCAGAGCAGAGGGATCTTCATGGAGAAGGCAGCATTTGAGTAGGATTTAGAAGAAATGACATTCTAGGTGTTTTAAAGAGATGTGGTGGAAAAGGCATGTTGATAACTACCTCATAAAGGGCTTTGAATATCAAGCTAAGGTGGTTGGGCTGTAATTCAGCAGATAGTGTGGGAAGCCCCTGATGTTTTCCAAATAGAGAAGTAACATGTTCTTTAGGAAGATTATTCTGGCAGTAATGTGATAGATTAGGCAAATGATTGAGAGTAGATCATCCCAGACATCAGTAAGCATTTATTAAGTGCCTACTAATATGCTAGGCATTGGCCATAAAAGCCCATTCTTGCCTAATGACTTAAAAAAAGGATTGTTGAATTTTTCTAATAGAAGACCATGGTGATCTTGGAAAGAACAGATTCGGTGAAATAATTAAATTAAAGATGAGAATCCAGGTTATCGAAAATTAAGTGGGTGATAAGGAAATAGATGACATTAGTGTAGACCATATTTCATTGTGTTTGGCAGTAAAGAAATAAAAGAGAAGATAATTTTTTGGGAGAGTCAATAAAAAATTTTTTTTTAAGCACCTACTATGTGCCAGGCACTGTGCTAAGTGCTGGATACAAAAAGAGGCAAAAGACAGTACCTGCCCTCAAGGAACAAGCAGTCTAATGGGGGAGACAACAAGCAAACAAATGTGTACAAACAAGGTGTATATAGATTAAGTAGGAAATAAGAGAGAGAGGCATTAGAATTAAGAGGGCTTGGGAAAGGTTTTCTGTAGAAGATGGGTCTTTGTAGAAGAAGGCTTACCATAGAAGATTTTTGTCCTAATTTTTAGTTAGGACTTAAAGGAACCCGTAGGCAGAGATGAAGAGGCAGAGCATTCCATTTCTGAGCGACAATCAGAGAAAGTAAGTACCTGGAGCTAAGAGGCAGGGAGGGTCTTGTTTGTGAAACAGCAAGGAGGTCAGTCTAATTGGATCAGAGTATGCTACAGTTAGTAATGTTTAAGAAGCCTGAAAAGGTAGGAGGAAGGCTAGATTATGAAGGGCTTTGAATGCCAAGTAGGGCATTTTGTATTTGATGCTGGAGTCAATAGGGAGCCACTGGAGTTCATTGAGTGGTGAAAGTGATATGATCATCCCTGGGTTTTAGGACAGTTACTTTCATGGCCAAATGGAAGATGGCTTGTAGTGGAGAGAAACTTGAGATAGGCAGACTCATCAGCAGGATGAAAGATAATTGATGAAGTAATATCTCCAAGAGATAGGAATTAAGATCAGTGATTCTATGGATTTTGAGGTGGAGAGTGAGGGAAATTGAAGGAGTTACCACTGTATTGCCATAAACTTAGTTAAGTAAATAAGAGTACTATGCTTACACCCTGAAGACCTATATTCAAATTCTGCCTCTGACATTTGTTAGCTATATAACTTTAGGCAAGTCATCTAATCTTATGTGCCTTGGACAACTTCCTAGGAGTTATCTACTACTTCTTTGGTGGTTGTGATCTGTAGGTTGCAAATCTGTTGATGGATGGAGTTCCTGCCCTAGGGCTAGGTTCCTTACTCTGACAAATCACAAATACTTCACACATTTGATAGCATGTGAGCTCTTTGGGGACAGAGGCTGTTCCATTTTTGTTATTGTATTCCTAGACCCTCGAACTATACTTGGAAAATAGTAAGCACTTTGTAAAATGCTTGTTGATTGATCAACAAGTAATATGGTCAAGTACAGGTGAGACAGTGGATAGTGTACCAAGCTTGGTGTTAGGAAGACTCTTCTGAAGTTCAAATCCAGCCTCAGATACTTACTAGCTGTGTGACTATAGGCAAGTCACTTAACCCTATTTGCCTGAGTTTCCTCATCTGTAAAATGATCTGGAGAAGGGAATGGCAAACCACTCTAGTATCTTTGCCAAGAAAACTCCAAATGGGGTCACCAAGAGTCAGAAACAACTGGAAAATGACTGAACAGAAAAAATGCTTTAGGAATATAACTTCAGTAGATGTGTGGAGGATATGTGTGTACACACACACACACACACACACACACACACATATGTATAGGGACATCAGTTAATTAGGAGGCTATTGTAGTAGACCAAATGAAAGATAAGGATTCTGAACCAGAGTGGTTACGTGAGTAGAGACAAGGCAGTTGTGAGATATATTAATAAGGTGAAATCCACAAGACTTGGCAACTGTTGCCTGTGGGTATGAGTGAAGGTGAAGAGTAGAGGATGACTCCTAGATTTGAGCCTTAATAACTGGGAATATGGTGATGCCGTAACAGAAACAGGACAGTCAGGTAGAGGGGCAGAATTAAAGGGGTAGTAATTGAGTTCTGTTTTGGATACAATGAATTTGAGATGTCTGCAGAACATCAGTCAGCAAATCAAACTTATTAAATGCTTGATCTATGCCATGCACTATGCTAAGCACTGTGAACACAGAAACAAAAATGAAACTGTCCATAGCCTGCAGGCACTTATGTTCTGATGGGGGCGTCACTGTATACACATCTAAGTATATGTAGAATATATATATACAAAATAAATAAAAGGAAACTTTGGAAAGGTTGTACTATCAGCTGTGGAATGAATAAAGGCTTCATAAAGAAGGTGGCAATTGAGCTTAGTCTGGAAGAAAACTAAGGAATCCAAGAGGCAAAGATGAGGAGGGAGTGCATTTAAGGCTTGGGATGCAGCCATTGCAAAGTATGGAAGTGGGAAATGGGAGAGGGCACTTCAGTTATTCAGAGAAGCTAGTAGTCTAGGATGGCTGGATCACAAAGTGAGGAAAAAGTAAAGGAGAAGACTGGAAAGACAAAAAGAGTCCAGTTTGTGAAGAGCTTTAAATGCCAAATAGAGGAGCTTATATTTGTTCCTGTAGTTTGTTGAGTAGAGGGGTGAAATGTTTAGACTGTACTTTATGAATTTTATTTTAGTAGCTATGTGATAAATTGGAATGGAGAGAGGCTTGAAGCAGGCCAAACAAGAGGTGATAGGGGCCTGAACTAGGGTGGTGGATCTCTAAGTAGAGAAGAAGGGATATTTAAGCTAGAGATATTACAGAGACAGAAATGACCAAGATTTGGCAGCTCATTGAATATGTGGAGTAGGCACCAATGAGAGGTTGAAGATGACAAGATTGTGATTCTAGGTGACTGGAAGAAGGTAGTACCTTTGAAAGCAATAGAGAAATTTAGAAGAACAGTGGGTTTTAGGGGGAAAGCATAGTTATGTTTTAGACCTGTTGAATTTAAAATGCCTCTGGGACATTCGTTTCAAACTGGATAGGTGATTAGTGAAGGAAAACTAGGACTGAAAATATAGATCTGGGAGTTTGCATAGAGATGATAATTGAACCTGTGAGAGGTGATGAGATCATCATGTGAGAGAGTATAAAGAGAAAAAGGGTCCAGGACATTCATAGTTAGGGGGCATAATATGGACAGTAACAAAAGAAACTGAGAAGGAGCAGTCACATGGGTAGGAGAAAGACCAGGAATGAGCAGTGTCCCAAAAACCCAAAGAGAAGAGAGTATTAGAGGAGAAAGACAGGTAATCAACAGTATTAAATGTAATAGATCAAGGAGGATAAAGATTGATAAAATGCCTATTAGGTATGTTAATTAGGAGATTGGCAACATTCTGATGGTATTTAAATTATGGAGGACTTAATTTGCCTTTTTAAAAAATTTCCAGGTTGTTAGGTGACTCTCCTTCATCCTGTACAGAAAATGATTCAGTACAATCAAGGAAAAATGAGGTTAGTATATTTTTAAGTTCTGTAAATTATATATTTAAGTATTTTACTAGTGTTTGCATGAAAAGAAGCTCCCCTATAAGTGCCTTTAACATTTGCTTCTGAACTGCTGAATGAATGGCTATACTAGGGGCTGCTGCAGTTGTCATCACCTTATCCACTCTCACCCTTCACTCCCACCTCACAGCATTGACATAATTTTTATTGAGCTATCCAAATGCTAAAGCACCTCAAAATAAATCCATATTTGTGATAGTTAACTTTTGAGAAAACAGTTTGTTAATAGTTATATTCTATAGGTAGTAAATTAATGGAAAGTTGTATTGTGTAATAATAATAGTTTTATCCAGTGCCTTAAGGTTTGAAAGATACTTTACATATATTACCTCCTTTGATCCTCACCCCTTTTACCTTACCCCTTTTACAGATGAGGAAGTGGAGGCTAAGAGAAGTGACTTATTCAGGGTCACATAACTAATATGTACCTGCGTCAAGATTATCAAAGTCAGTTCTTTTCTTGACGCCAAGTTTGTCACTCTATCCCTACCCCACCAAGCTGCCCAGTAAATAAGAATAAGTATATAATAAAATAAGAGTAAATAATGTTATATAGTATATATGTTGTTATATATAGCATATATAATGTTATTCTACTCACAAGGAGTAGATGACTGTGATGACCACTAGAATAGCTAGGATACTTGATAATCCCTGAGATTTCTTTCAGGCAGCTAGGTGGTGCAGTGGATAGAGCTGTGGGCCTAGAGTCAGGAAGACTCTTCTTCCTGGCCTCAGAAGCTAGCTGTGTAACTTTGGGCAAGTCACTTAACCCTGTTTGCCTCTGTTCCTCATGTATAAAATGGGCTGGAGAAAGAAGAGGCAAACAACTCCAGTATCTTTGTCAAGAAAACCCCAAAAGGGATTAAAAATTTGGACACAAATGAAAAATGACTAAACAACAACTCAACAATGAGATCTCCTTTAGCTAAATGCTAAAGGTATGTGAAGGTATTTTTTGTAATTTTTATTTGTCTGAAAACTTTAATACTTACATATTCAATAGTCAGTAAACATTTATTAAGTGCCTACTTTGCGTCAAGCACTATGCTGAAGCACTGGGGAATATAAATAAGAGAAAGATAGTCTCTGTTCTCAAGGACCTTGCAATCTAATAGGGGTAAAACAGTAACATAGTAGGAAGCTGAAGGTGTGATGAGGGGCATGATGTTCATGGAGTGAAACCCTGCAAGAGCAGCTGTTGGAAAATGAATTGGTTGGAAATTCTGAGCCTTTTATAAGAGGAAGCCTTGGGAGGAGTTTTTTTGCTCACTCTTCAGCCTTCTGATTAGAGGAGAAAGGCAGCTGAGATCTTGAGTTGGTGTTCAGTAGCAGTCTTCATGAAGACATTTCTGGTTATGATTTTATCCTAGGGGAGTCATGATGTTATTAGAGTCTGAGTTGAGCAGTTGGTGAGAGATGGAATATATAACATATGATTTGTAGTTATTCAGATAAAATCCCAACCCTTTCTTTAAAAAATAAATAAAACATTCTTCAAAAAAATTTTACATTTATTTGTTTGTATGCCTTTATTATCTATCCTCCCTCCTCCCACTCCCTTCCCACTGAATCATAACATAATGCTTTATTTTACTGTCATTTCCCCACCACCACAAGAGGCTGTAGCTCAGCTTTTCAAGTTCAGATTTTTTAAAAAATGTAGCCTGTATTAGAACTAATACAATATATATAGTTTTGAAAAGTGTCATTAAAGAAGAATCTTTAGAAAATGTTTTATTTTAAAGATAGTTTCTTTTGTAAGAGAATTTTAGTATAAATGATACTGTCTTGTCTTTGACCTTAAAGATTAATCATTGTTTTACTTTAATTTATTGTATCCTTCTTACTTTTCTGTATGGCTAGAAATTATACTTGTGGGGCAGCTCGGTGGCATAGTGGATAGAGCACTGGCCCTGAAGTCAGGAAGAGCTGAGTTCAAATCTGACCTCAGATCAAAATATTTGACACTTACTAGCTGTGTGACCCTGGGCAAGTCACTTAACCCCAATTGGCTGAAAAAAAAATAGAAATTATACTTGTGCTTTACTTTGTTTCCTAGCAATCTGTACAGATTCAAAAAAAATTATACTTACTAGAAGAACACCTCAAAAATGAGATACAAGCCAAAGAGGACCTGGACCAGAAGTGCAAGTATGTTTTTTAAATAACTAAACTTTGAATTTTTGTGGACAAAAGAGTTATTTTAAAATGGTGATATAAACATAAGAAATGTTATTCAGTCATTATCGTTTTATTCTTATTTCTTTTTAAATTCTTTAGATTGGTTAACACTCGACTAGAGAAGATAACAAAAGAACTAGAAGAAGAGGTAAATCTTTATCGAACTGACTTTTAAAATGTGTTCCTTTAAATATTTTCCCCTTATTTGCCTGTAATAAAAGTGTATTAGTAGAGTTGTATCATATGTTATGGGATAAAGTGATTAATGTCTTAGTAGCATTTATTTGTGAGACAGAACCAATTCACATTATAGAATATCCATGTTATATTAGGCTTTCATTGACAGTTATAATGGTATTCTGTTGATAATATTGTGTATTAAGCTACGATCCCAAAGCAATATCTTCTTAATTTCATAATGTTATGTCAGTTCATTAGACAAATATTAATAATAGTTAAGTAGTGGTAAAATAAGTTGTAATAAAAATGCCTTTTGTAGTAAATAAGATGTTATATAGCCTTTGTCATTTAATTATATCTATAGCTATTAACAAATGCAAACAAATGCATTAAAGTTTTTATAGAGTTAGTTTCTTTGACAAAAGCTTTATGATAATTTCAGGTTACCTCAAGAAAGAATGTAGAATCTGCATTAAGACAATTAGAGAGAGAGAAAGCTCTTCTTCAACACAAAAATACAGAGTACCAGCGGAAAGCAGAACATGAAGCAGACAAAAAACGGAATCTAGAAAACGATGGTTTGTAATATAGCCTATTAAATGTGAAATGATTTTTTAAAATTAAGTTAATTTTAATATTCCTCTGCCATCAGTAAACATTTAGGGTGGTATGTTCAACTTTCCCATTGAAACGCCTTTTTATTTCAGTTAACAGCTTGAAAGATCAGCTTGAAGATTTGAAAAAAAGAAATCAAAACTCTCAAATATCTAATGAAAAAGTCAATCAGCTCCAGAGACAAGTAAGCTATCTTGAATTCATGGTAATGATATTAAATTAGAATGTATTGATTCAAAAAATACTTATAGCATACTTATGGAAGGTATTGTCCTGTGCCTTGGAGGATGTAAAGATGAGTAATATGGTCCTTGCCTTCAAGGATGTTAAAATCTACTTGAAGAGATAGACCATGTATAAAAATAACCCTTGTACAGCATAATAAATTTGAGAGATATTTTGGGAACTGAAAATAAGTCTAATTTTAACATGTGGGAAGTTCAGCTGTTGCCAGAATTTTTATGAATAGCTTTAATGGGTAGGCTAAAGAGTGTGTAATTTATCTTATAAGAAAATGAAAGTTTGTGCACTATTAAGTGTTAAGATCAAGATAAGATTGCTTTACCAGTGATTTATATGGTAGATTGAAGTAGAAAGTGACTGAAGATCAAGAACTTAGGCTATTTTGATAAGTGTGGGCCTAATGTTAGATTATATATGTCTGTCGTCATAGGAGTAGTCTAAATGAGTTTAGAAATATTTATCACAAGATTGATTTCAAGATGCCAGCATAATGAGTTTTTCAGCCGTAGTAACTCACAAATATTGTCTACCAAGCTGTGTTGGAATTTTCATCTTCCTAGATAGAAGCTGTACCTATTCTTAATAAAATCCCAAGTCCTTGATATAAGCTTACATATTTATTTTACATGCCTTTAAAAAATTCCTATCAAATGTTTTCCAGTTTTTTTTCCTTGTAATTTAGATCCATTTTTTTTTTGCAATGGAAATGATTTGTTTGTTTTTGTTTTATGAATCAATAGTTGGATGAAGCCAATGCTTTGCTGCGAACTGAGTCTGATACTGCGTCCAGGTTACGGAAAAACCAGACAGAAAGTTCAAAACAAATTCAGCAGCTGGAATCTAATAATAGGGAACTACAAGACAAAAATTGCACGCTAGAGAATGCTAAACTGAAACTTGAAAAGGATTTCATCAATCTTCAGTCAGCTCTAGAATCTGAAAGGAGAGATAGAACCCATGGATCAGAGATCATTAATGATTTACAAGGTATTATGGTGTAAAGATTGAGGCATATTGAATTAAGTGTAGTGACTCAGGTTTTATTGATCGTTTTAGATGATAAATCTTTTTTGGCCAGCTTTTAAGGTAATTTTTTCTTAAATGGCTGTTGCATTGAATTTAAAATTTAGAGTGTGTGCCTTATTCAAGATATTCCAGAAGGAACATTTAATTCTTCAGTAGTTTGAAGTATTTTTAATAGATTATGGGGCCTACCTAGTTCTATCAAGAGCTCTGTTCATAAAATTTCAAAATTCATCTTCCGTAAGTGCACATAGACACATATAAGTTTTTAAAAGAATAAATTACAAGTATAATATATTTTATATTCTCAAACTTGCTACATGGTTGAATATTACCTCATGGGATCATTTGTTTAAGTAAGTAATTTTTCCTTTTTAGGTAGAATATCTGGTTTGGAAGAAGATATTAAGAATGGTAAAATTTCATTAGCAAAAATGGAGTTAGAGAAGAGGCAACTACAGGAGAGATTTACAGATTTAGAAAAGGTAGGTAATGGTTTTAAAATAGAACAAATTTTATATTTCATGGAATCTTCTAAGGTATGAGATTGTGGACATTTTTTATAAGAATGTAGTGAAGAAAATAAAAGTGAAGGATATTTGTCCAAAGTACAGGGAAACAAATAGCTGATTGTGTTACATGATAATTCAGTTGGGCAAATGGATGGTTGAGGTGTCTCTTGTAAAAATCATATTGCTCAGGTAGTCTTTACAGTTATTAGAATTCTCCCAAAATAGAGAATTTCACAGGGAATGGAAAATGAAGATGTTTTAAGGGATAATCTTGATTTAATGAGAGGACCCTATGCAAAAACTTGAAACATTTATCATGTTTAGGTCATGGGGTTTAAAGCTAAAAGGGACTCTTGAATTATCTCTATATTTTATACAGGTGAAAGCTGAGACTTAGGTTAAATAAGTTGCCCACGGTCACAAAATTAGAGTACCAGAGCCAGCATTTGTACGTAGATCCTATGACTTACAAATAGAGCTTCTTGCCCACACAAGTAGTGAAAGTAGACCTCTTTGAAGGGTATTTTTGTAAATTAAAGGAAATATAACATCTAGATTTATAACTTTTCTCATCATTTACAAATTATCCTTTAGAGTAACATTCTGATTTAGTGAAAAGAGTGCTTAAGGTCTCTCGAGAGATCCTAGTGCTTCTGACTATGCTATTGTTTTATTTGGGTAGTTCACTTAACCTCTCTGGGCCTTAATTTTATCATTTGCAACATGGAGATCATAATACTTATCCTTTCTACTTCACAGTGTTGTTAGGAGATCAAATAAGATATTTTTTATGGAAACACTCTGAAAACCGTTAACCCCACTGTATGATATAGGGTGTTATTGGTGTGGAATTATTATTCATTGTTTAAAGTGAAGAAACATGACAAAGCACTAAGTTATACCCATGACATATAGGAGTTGGATAGTTAAACTTATATTTTGTTCTATGTTAAATCTACCTCACTTTTATCTTACTTAAAAAAAAATATCCTGCTGCAAAAAACCTGTTTGTAAACTAACTGTAGGTCCATGAATTACCTCGAATGAGATAATTATCTCAAGTAAGATATTTGTAAAGTACTTCATACAGTGCCTGGCACATAGTAGGCACTTAATAAATGCTTATTCTCTTCCTTTTCTCCTTCCCATTAATTTTTCATTGAGAATGTTCACTTGAAATGTTCTTTAACAGGAAAAAAGTAACATGGAAATAGACATGACATACAAACTGAAAGTTATACAGCAGAGCTTGGAACAGGAAGAAGCAGAACATAAAGCTACAAAAGCACGGTTAGCAGATAAGAATAAGATATATGAATCTATTGAGGAGGCCAAGTCTGAAGCTATGAAAGGTATGTATTTTACTCCAGGATGCTTTCCAACTTTGCCTCTCTCCCCTCTACGCCCCTTCTCGAAAAAAAAAGAAAAAATCAAGCTTTATGATCTGAAGATATTTCTGTATTTTATAACAATCTACTAGAAGTTTTTATGCCGACAAAAATCTGTTTACATCAGCTTTTTTTTTTAAATGTGTATTAATAACTTAAAAAACAAAAACATTTAGATCTTTAGCTCTTAAAGAGGGTTTAAGTTTTAATGATTTCTTGGAATTCATCTGTCACCCACAGAGATGGATTTACAGAATGTGAATTGCTAGAACATAAACCTATATACTTTATGTTCATTGGTAATTCTCTCTTGGCAGAATGAAGATATTATATTATTTACTGTTTACTTATTTTACTTAAAGTTATTATGAGCCATACTGTTTTGATTTAGGATTTTTACTCTTGAGATTAGAGTAAGTTCAGTGACTTCTGGAATTTCCTCCTAGCATTGTGATTCAAATATTTTAGAATAATTTAAAAGGTCTAGAGTCATTTTAAAAACAAAAACAGCGCGTCTGTCTGCTTGCAGTTGATAGGTCTTGCATCATGCTTGAAGTTCAGCAGATTCCACCTTTGCCTTACCACAGAGAGAAAAAATACAGAATTGTGAAAGTTGTTTCTAGTTCTTTGGAATTCAGATTTGGAAGTTTGTTCTTAGTAGTATTCAGTATGGCCTTCGCAGCCTCTTCCTATAACTCAGTTGCTCAGTAAATATACCTTGCTATTCCATCTAATTGGGCCTTAGGAAACAACATGAGATGAAACAAAGTTGCATGGTATACTTTGTTCCATAGAAACTATATTTATGCGTATATAATTACCATATGGTGTTGATATGGCTCTTCTTGCTTAGGAGAATTAATGCTACTGAAGTATAAGCACTAGTTTAGTTCATTGCCAGCCATTGTATTTTGGACAGATAGCCAAATGATGTAGTGGAGTTTATGTATAATGTGTTATCTTCTCTCTCCTCCCCTTCCAGCTACTAAGAATATAAATTGCAAAAATAATTTCTGATCTGTGTTGGGGAGAGGAAGTTTCCTCACCTGAAGCTCCTTACAATAATGAAATCCTAGATCTAGATGAAAACATTTGTGAATCATTGTTGAGTAGGAATAATGTCGTGTTGGGTATCCTTGTGCTTTTGGACAAGGATTTGGGTATCTGAAATTCTGATGTTTGTTGAATTATGAATATATATTTAAATAATTATTTAACTAGCTCTAGTTAAGGGTGTATTTTGGAGTGACAGTTGAAACGTACATTTTTTCTTCACTTGAGTAATTGGTGTGGTTATGTTTAGATGTAATTCAATCTATCAAAAAATATTAAGTTCAAATATGTTGATATTGTTTGATCTCTAGTATTTTACTGCATCTGGGGATGCTGTTGTATAAAAATTACATCTTGGATTTAAAAAAAAAACACCTAAAGGATTGACAAATAAATAAGGGATGGTGGCTCTGAAATTTTAAGAAGATCTTGAGAATAAGGGATTAAGGAGACACATTGGAGAAGCTTAGAAGAGTCATTGGTTAGTCTAAGACAAATATTCACAGGCAAAATTTATACCAGATAGAACTACAAACTAAGTGTTTTCAAATTATCATTGAAACTATGTTACTTTGTAGCTCCCATAATCAGTATTAGGAAGAGGAACTGAATATAGTTCATTTTCATTTAGAATAGTTTGGTGTTTTGTTAGGATCATTGAAAAATATTGAACCATAAGATTCCAGGATTATATAAGAGAAAGATTAAAAATAACAAGCCCGTCTAGTATACCAGATCTCACTTTATAATTTAAATTCTGGCATGATAAAGATTCCCACCAAATTTAGTTACAGAACAACTTGCATTCAGTGCTGAACATCAAACAAAATTAACTTCTTTATTAAGACCTCTGATCAAGATAAGATAGCAAGCAAGCACCAGTATATTAATTAAAGCCAACATTTTGAAGGCAAAAAAGTGAGCTTTGAGAAAACATTTTCAGAATGACTGTGGATAATCCTTCCTCTTTGATTATCATATGTGCAGTTATGGTATTTCATATTAAAATGCAACATTTGGGTTTGAAAACACGATGTCTTTTGTGTATATAACCAAAGATAATTTCTATTTAAAGCTGGTTTAAAACCTGGGTATTTAGAAATGAGAGGTGGACTGACGTATATACATCACCATTTTGAATTTAATATTGCATTTTATTACAAAATATCTAGTGCAAAAGAATGTAAATGTTGTTGTCCACAGAAGAAGTAGCCATGTAGTAGCTAGGCATGATAAAAGAAAAAATATACCCTATATATCCCTGCTGTGGCTCAGGAGAAGGTGATGAAACAAACTTCTGCATTGTCATGTTTAGATGAAGATGAAGTTTTCTCAAGAATAATGGAAGAGATGGGTGTGGATTTCTGTATACATTTCCAGAGTAGAATGAGGCTCAGTCTAGAGAAACACAATTTAATCTTCCTTCCTTTTGCCTCGAATCATGAATCAGATGAGTACAGTTCCTTCCTCGTAATACTACATGTAATTTTAGTAAGTAGGGACTATCTTGTTTAAGGTAGTCTTCCATCAATCTCATGCTTCATGTTATATCATACATAAAGGATCAATGTGGTTATGAGGGCAGACAAGTTATAGTCAAGATAAACATCAAGAGGGGGCCGCTAGGTGGCACAATGGATAGAGCACTGGCCCTGGAGTCAGGAGGACCTGCGTTCAAATGTGGCCTCAGACACATTAACACTCACTAGCTGTGTGACCCTGGGCAAGTCACTTAACACCAATTTCCTCACCCAAAAAAAAGATAAACATCAAAAGATGACCTCATTTATGTTGTTAATACTTTTGTGCAAACCATAAAAGATTTTTAGGTTAAAGTATTTTTTGAGGAGTAGCAAAGAGGTCTCTGTAAAAGTAGGTAATAGAAATTGTATAACAGGCATAGGGGTGCTTTAAAACCAAAAAGGGCAGGTTGGGAGCTACCAGCAAATAACTTCTACTTTTTTCCTAGCAATTGAGGATGTCAGAATGTTGGAAAGCTGTGTTTAAAGAATTGTTTAAATCATCTTATAAAACTATAGCCTTAGACAAACAGAATTCTTAGTTGCATGTTCCTACTGAATTGAATGATTATTGGAATAAACCAAAATTCTTTTATGATTTCTAATTATATGAACTAGAAAGTCAATGAGAATTTGGAAATTGAATAGCCAGATAGGAATACCTTTTGAAAAGTGGAAATTAATAGTTTTTAGACAATTGCCTTTATATAAAATTTTGTGTAAAATTAAACTAAAATCTCTTTGCTGGGTATGGTACTACATGTGTGTAATCTGTGCTACAAGGAGAATCAGACTGGCAGATTTCTGAAATCTAAGAGTTCTGAGCTACAGTGATCTAATAAGCCACTGGGGAGTCTGCACTTGATACACTGGCCATCAGGAGCAGGGTTGGCTAGAGAGAGGAGAACCAACCTCAGTCAGAAACAGAACAAGTGAGAGCTCAGGCCTGTCAATAGCCCCCTGCAGTGCAAGCCTAAGTGAATTAGGAAGGCTTAGTCTTTTTTTCTTTTAGATTCTATTTGACAGCCTTCCATTTTGCTCAAATTAATTCAGTATTTAACAGTTTTTTTCCATTCCTTCCCCTTCCCATACTCCGATAGAAATGGAGAAGAAACTCCTAGAGGAAAGAACTTTAAAACAAAAGGTGGAAAACCTTCTGTTGGAAGCTGAAAAAAGATGTTCAATGTTGGACTGCGACCTCAAACAGTCCCAACAGAAAGTCAACGAACTCTTGAAACAGAAGGACAAACTAAATGAAGATGTAAGAAGGAATTTTATAAATGATCAGTGTTAAAATTATTTATAGATTTGAAATAATCCCTCTGATTGTATATGCTTTATAAATTGTATGATAGTGTATTGTGGTATAATACTGTACATCTTAAATATTTCTGTATGTTGAGAAGCTACATGGTAGAATGAAAAGCAAGTGGGTCAGAAGACCTGGGTTTCCATCTTGCCTCTGTCACTTAGTAGTCACTTTACTTTTCCTAGCTTGTTTCCTATTTGCAGAGTCAGTAAGATAATATGCTACTTACCTAGTGGGCTTACTGTAAAGAAAGTGCATTATAAGCCTTGAAGTTTTCTTTAAATGTTGCTTCTTATCCGTTAGTCATTATCGTTTTCAGTTTCTTTTTCAATCAGTAATTGACTATAAGATATTTCATTTTGGGAGAAAAACTTTTTTCCCCAGAATTCTCAGAAACATAAAAATAATTTTAACATTGAATGTCTAGTTAAAAACTATCTAAGAGGAAAATCTCTGTTCTTTGTCATGTGTCATCTTTATTTAGCAAGGAAATTATTTATATTTATCTAATATACCAAGGTGGGAAAAATGTGTTTTTTAGGTCAGGAACTTGACCTTAAAAATAGAGCAAGAAACTCAAAAGCGCTGCCTCACACAAAATGACCTGAAGATGCAAACACAGCAAGTCAACACACTGAAAATGTCTGAAAAACAAATGAAACAAGAAAATAATCATCTTATGGAAATCAAAATGAGTCTGGAAAAGCAAAATATCGAACTTCGGAAGTAAGTAAATTTTGGCACCCCTTAAATAACCAGTGTCCAATTTTCCATTCATGGATTATCGTCCTTAAAAGACAGGATATTCTGTACCAGTAGAGCAAGTGAGGAGGAGGATTATCATGATTGTAGAATAGTTTATACAGACAATTTAAATGGAACAAATTTGAAAATCCTATTTTATATAGGTTTCACAAAAATGAATAGAAATTTAGAACCTAGATTCCTAAGAATTTTCTGTGTACTATAATTGGGGATAATATAACCAGTTTAACTCCATTTGACTTTACAGTGATTGGCCAGCTGTAGTAGATTTTTATTTTCAAAATAAAGATAAGTATTTTTTCAGTAATTTTTACTAAAATAACAGAATGAATAAAGTAGTTTGTCAGTTTCATTTGGAAGAAATTAGGATATTTTTTCCTCTAGTCATTGGCAATAATTCAATCAGTCTGTTTCTTTAGGTTTTAAAAGTAATGCAAAAAGGGGCAGCTAGGGATAAAGTGGATAGAGCACTGGTACTGGATTCAGCAGAACCTCTGTTCAAATCCAGCCTGGGACTTGACATTTCCCAGCTATGTGACCTTAGGCAAGTCTCCATCCTCCCCCCCCCCAAAAAAAAAAAGTAATGCAAAAGCACACATAACATTTTAAAATTTAATAGAGAAAAAAATTAGTGCATATTGATCTAAGTTACACTTAGGAGGTGTCATTGCTTTTCATTAATTTAGTACTTTAAAATTTATGAAGTTTTATTACTTATGACCCTTTCAGGTATGTGTAATACAAGTATTATGGTGTGTTTTTTAATGGACTTTGGATTTTATCAGTGTTGGTAAGGCATGTCTTTTGCCAATGCAAATCTACACCTTCTCTGCAACTTAGAATCTTAAAAAGTTAACTGAGGCACTTAAAAAGCGAGTGATTAAACATGGCCACAAAGTAGGACTTCAGCGTGCACCTCCTAACCAACAGCTGGCTCATTGTCTACCACCTCACACTGCCTCTGAAAGTAGAATTGCCAGGCTCTGGAGGGGCAAGCTGAACTAAGGCTTCTCTAAAGTCACCTGACTAGTGAGCGGCAGAACTGGCACTCTGTATAATGTTAAGATCCCCACTAATTCATCAGAACGAGAGTTGATGAATGACCGCATCGTTTTCTTCCAGCTTCTCATTTAGATGGTTAAGACTAGATTATTAGATTGTAATTCATCCTTTGCATGATTGGCCTCCTATGAGATACTACCACAAATTAATTGTGGGGCCTACCTAAGTCAATTCATTTCACCTCTCTAGATCTGTTTTCCTTCTAAAATTAGAGAGCTGAGCTAGATAATCTCTCCTGTGACCATATTACTATGTGTTGTGGGTATAAGTGTTATTGAATAAAGATAACCTGAATTTATGAATTAATGTTCTAACAGAGAACGACAAGATGCAGATGGACAAATGAAAGAGCTCCAAGATCAGCTCGAAGCAGAACAATATTTCTCAGTAGGTACCAAATACTTTCATTGAAAAGCTGTCTCATTTTTGGTTGGTATGACTTTTTATCCTTTTCAGAAATATAATTCAGAAATTATAAAAACATAGTATTTTACAATTGGAAAGAAATTCAAAAGTCAGTCCAACCCATACCTGAACAAGAATTCCTTTATAACAAGTAGTCATCTAGTCTTCACTTCAAGACTTTCAAGCTATAGGGAATGCACTGACTCCAGATTCCACCTATTTTACTTTTAGACAGTTTTAATGTTACAAAGTTTTTCCTAATATCAAGCCACAATCTACCCCTGCAACTTTCGCCCATTATTACTCATTCTACTCTTTAGTACTTCAGAACATCTCCATTAGACAAGACCCATCTTACTGCATTCACTGATCACCTTCCATTCTCAGTCAAGTACCCAGAAATATAAATATAAAATGGCCTTTTTGTCCATGAAAAGTTTTTTGCTATGTGACATAGGTATCTCCTGAGGGACAATTTGCTAAATCATGGCTCTGTATACCATTTCTAGATGCCTAGAAAAGATACTATTGCTCTCCCACCCTTTTTTTTTTGGCCACATAGAGAACAGGGACATTTTGAGTCATCCTAAAAATAGAAATCAAAGTCCCATTCTTTGTGACAGTAGTGATTTTTTTTATGTTTTGTTCTTATATTTTGAAATTCAGACTCTCTATAAAACACAAGTTCGAGAGCTTAAAGAAGAATGTCAAGAGAAGACCAAGCTTTGCAAAGAAATGCAGCAGAAGAGCCAGGAATTACAGGATGAGAGGTGAGGGTTAAATTCTGTTCTCCCACAAGACAAGTTGCAGCACAAAAGAAAACTAAGCCAAAGCTGAATTCACAGTCTCTTAGCAGGCATTTAATACACACCTACTATGTGCCAGGCACTGTCCTAGGCAGAAGCAATAGAAATATTTGTACTAAATTGCTGTATTTGTGAAAATACAGGGACTCCCTGGCTGCACAACTGGAGATCACCTTGACAAAAGCTGATTCAGAGCAGCTAGCCCGTTCTATTGCTGAAGAACAGTACTCTGATTTGGAAAAAGAGAAGATCATGAAAGAGCTGGAAATTAAAGAGATGATGGCTCGACACAAACAAGAACTTGCAGAAAAAGATGCTACAATAGCATCTGTAAGTAAATTATCTCTTTTTATAATTTTAATTTATATTATTCTGTGATAAATCTTTTCCAGAGAAATTTTACTATTCTAAGCAAATACTAGTATTAAAATCTTGAACTTTATTTAACTCTTAGTTCCCTCGTGACAATTCAAGAAAAATTTCAGGAAGAACCTAAACAAATATAGTAGAGTTGCAGAGAAAGCTGGGAATGAATAGAACACTTATTTTAGAATTAGGAGACCTGAATTTGAGACCTAGTTTTTATATTTATTAGCAGTGTAGTCCCAAGCAATTAACTTATATGAGTTGATTTTTCTTATCTTTAAAATGGGGCTTCTAGTATTTGTGCTGTCTCCTTTAAAAAACATGGAGGGAAGCACTGTGTAAATCACAAAGTGCTATGTAAGTGAGGCATATTATCCTTATGAAGTAGAGAAATTTCTGTGTTTTTTTTTAAAGCACAATTTGAAAGGAACCCTTAAGCTAGCTATACTAAGGTGAGAATGTTAGAAAAAAAATAAGTAAAACTGAACCACCTTATAAGTAAATCAAAATTTTTTTTCCCTCCATCCTTTCTTAGGGTTTTGGTATTACCAGAATGAAAGTAAAAACAAATTATTTCATTAAAGCAATGTAGCTATTTTTGTTAATGTTCAGTGTAGTTTAGAACCCAGTCTATCAAGTTCTTCTGAATAATGATCATTTAGTGCCCTTGTACTATTTGCTACAAAGTGGAAACATTTCCATATGTACACCAATTTATTTTTTTAATGTTGTTGCTGCTAAATCACGTATCATTGACAATGTATTTGACATTGAATTTCACAAAAGAGAGGGGGTTTGATATCTTATATGTTTATTAAAGATATAAGAAAGAAGCATAGATGTAGAATAGAAGGTTAAGGAGTAGAACACTTTTGTTGTTTGTTTAGTCACTTTCAGTTGTGTCTAATTTTTTGTGACCCCATAAAATATTTTAAGAAAATGCATGAAAAAAAGCAAATAATTACAAGCAGGAGAAATTTTACATATACAATCGGAATAGTGCTAGACTTAAAAGATAAATTCAGAATTTTTGTTTGATACCCAAGAGATTGAGGATTATGGTTCTCAATACTTATATTTTTTTCAAAATGCTTCTGAAGTCTGAGAAGATGATCTAACTCATATGGATGCTGTCTTCCCCCTCCTCCAAGAAGACTACTTGAAGTCGGAAGTGACATAATTTCCTTTCCAAAACCTGTCTAATTCTTAGATCTGGGTGAATCTTCTTCAGTTTATGCATATTAATGCATATTAACATGCATATTAATAAGAAAAAGAAATCATTTGGGTAGTAGCATTTTCAGTGGAAGACTAATGAGGGCTGAAAATGAGTTTCCAGAAGGTGACACCAAAGTCAGAAAAGGAGGGAAGTGACAGATTAAAAGTTTTTTAACAGTTAACCAGAACTTCAGGAATTTTGCTTTATTTTTCTTTTCATTTCCTAGCTCGAGGAGGCTAATAGGACACTAACTAGTGATGTGGCTAATCTGGCAAATGAGAAAGAAGAACTGAATAATAAAGTCAAGGAAGTCCAAGAGCGTATGTATTATTGACTAAAAATAAAATATGTATTTTAGTCTGCTTAAGGGTTTATTTTATTTTTATAAACAAACTGCATTTTTTTAAAAATTACAGAAATGTCAAAGTTGAAAGATGAAGAAACAAATATATCAGTTATTAAAACGCAATTTGAGAAGCAACTATTAAATGAGAGAACACTAAAAACTCAGGTAAGTGTAATAAAAAATATAAATATATTCTGGGTGTTTGTCCATTTTATGTTAAATTTTTATATTTATATTCTGCATTATAGGTCCATTATAGATTGGCTTCATTCAGACATAAGGTTCTGAAATATTTTTTTGTGGGGGATGAAGGTTCTATTCCTAATTTTTATTTTTATAAGTTTGTAATTAATAAAGGCTCAGTTTTGTGTAGAGGTTATTTCCAATATGCAATTTATGATATAGCCATATTTAATTTGTTGCTGTCCTCTTCCCATACCTAAGTTTTTTATTGCAAACTCATATTTAACTTTTTCAATTTTATGAGAATTTATATAATGACTTTAGCCAGCGTGTGGGAATTGTCTTTGTATTTCAAAGAAAGTTTTTTTTCACAGATTTGAATCTGGAACTTTAGAGATCATCTCAATCTTCATCTTTATTTTGCAGAGGAAAAAACCAAAGCCTTGAGACATCAAGTGACTTGCTTCATGGCAGTTCAGTTGTTGAAAGACTCAGTTTACATAGTCAAGATTAGCTCACTTAGATTTTTTTTTAAACTATTGACCATTCTACATGCTCTCAAGTTGATAGTGCTAATGAGTTTCAGACAAAACTTCCTCTTCCATGAAGGAAAATGGATATTTTTCTGTTGTAGAACTGTTTGAGAATGTAAGAATTGAAAGAGGCAGGAAGGCAAATGGAACCAGTCCTGTCTTCAAACAGTAAACTCTAGAACTCTTAGAAAACTCTAAGAGACAGAAATAGGGTTTTGGTTGGGAGGTAATGGAGAATTAATGAATGTAATTGGTACTTACAAGTTTCTGTACTTAAAGTGACCAAAGAACAGGGGCATCTTATTAAAAAGTTGTAGATAGTATTTGTGGTCTATTATGTGGTTACAGGTATTTGCATCATGGCAAATGATGGGATGTAGGGAAAGCAACAGATAGTAAATAGTTTTATTTTTTATCTCTTCTAGGCTGTGAATAAATTGGCTGAGATTATGAATCGAAAAGAACCTCCCAGGCGTGGTGCTGACACAGATGTGAGGAGGAAAGAGAAAGAGAACAGAAAGCTACATATGGAACTTAAATCAGAACGTGAAAAGTTAACTCAACAGATGATCAAATATCAAAAAGAACTCAATGAAATGCAAGCTGTAAGAATCCTTTTTTTTGGAAACTTTTGGTGCTTGGATGGCACTTTTAAAAATTTTTGTGCATTTTATTTTTCATTATTAGCTTGTTTCAGAAAAAATGTTACTTGAAGAATAAGTAGACTAATTTAATGAGTTACATGTATATATATCTCTAGAGGCAATGAGTCATAGTGAATAGAATACTAAGTCAAATATCATTCCTTTCCCCCTCTCCATTTACCTGCTCTAAGACGCTAGCCAAGTCACTTAACCTGTGTGCCGCTGGCATTATCTTGTTGTTTGTCCATCGTTCTCAGAGAGGACCGTAACATCAGGGAGGTGAAGCCTGATATGCATGTGATATGGATTTAAGTGAGGGAGAGCCATTCAGAGTCGCCAGCCTTATTTTCTCCTCTGGAGCCAGTATCTACTAAGTTATGCACAAGTTGTTACTTTATATTAGTGGAGGGAATCTACCTACACACACACACACACACACACACACTCTCTCTCTCTCTCTCTCTCTCTCTCTCTCTCTCTTTCTCTCTCTCTCTCTCTCTCTCTCTCTGTTTGCATATACCACATTTAACTTTAAGCAAAAAATATTTTTTCTTTTACAGCAAATAGCTGAAGAAAGCCAAATTCGAATTGAACTGCAAATGACTCTGGACAGTAAAGACAGTGACATTGAACAGCTTCGATCACAGCTCCAGGCCTTACACATTGGTCTAGATAGTTCCAGTATAGGCAGTGGACCAGGGGAAGCTGAGGCAGATGATGGGTTCCCAGGTACAGGTTTGTTTTTAGTACTTTTAATTATTTTTATAAAAAAGTTTCTGGCCCAGAATCAAAATCATATAATTGATTATCTCAAGGCCTGTCACAGATTTTTTTTTCACATAGGTGTAAATGCCAGTAAATATATATATATATGTATGTATGGGAAAACATATATCTTGGTTCTACCATTCTTCATCTTTTAATTTTTTTTACTGCTAATAATGCTTTAAAAAAGAAAACTAATTTACTTTCACATTTGTTTTAGTAGTTCAACATATAATATAATAACTAATTTTTAAAAGCTGTTCTATGTCTAATTTTTCTGTTAACTTTTTTTTTTGCACTTTTCCATTCTTTTATGTTGGGTATTTAGTCCATATCACTCAGTCACGTACTATGGAGTCCATGTCTTTCACCTATCAACGTTCTTCTACCTCTCTCAATATTGCTACTAAGCCTTCCAGTTCTCACATGCTTCTCGACTCTGATTCTGACTCAGAGGAAGAATCCTTATCTTGTGCACCCATTTCTTCGGAACCTGATAGTGCAGGTGACATCCTGAAAACCGTTTCACTCATGGATTGTTTTTCCCCCTCTTTTAACTTCATTCCTTTTGAAAAGTTTTCCTAACATTATATTGCTATATCCACTAACTCATGACTTTCATTAGTGAAAATGCTACATGCACAGAGAATTATTATATAAATATTTTTCTAACCCATTGATTATATAATAGATTTTAAAACACAATTCTTTTGCAAACTCATTACAGTGTGGAAACTGGATTATATTGATTATGCAAGTGAAGTAGGAAAATGGCATGGCTTCAAAGCTCCTAGGATTTCTCTGCTGTGAGCTATTTTCAGGCAAATGAATGTGAATGTTAAAGTTTGATCATGATTTAAAGATATGAAACAACAAAAGCACATAATAAATATATTTAGTACTTACTCCCTCAGCATAGTGGGACTGGGATATGAAAGAATTAATGTATAATCTGTGTCCTAAAAGAGCTTACAATCTCAGTGGGGATATAGTGTATCCACACATATGGATCATATGCCTTGGTAAGTAGTTTTATGAGTTGCTCTGCTGAAGAAAAACATTCTTCACCTAATGGCTTTAATCCTCTGGTCATCAGCCTTTCTCAACATAGCTGTGCAAGTCTTTAGATAAAAGACACACATTCCATCACTGGGCTGTACTAGAAACCTTTCAGGATTGCTAGCTGTATATAATATATCCAAGGCAGTGTGTGATTGAGTACAAAACTATATAGTAATCATAGCTGTGAGAGTTTAATTTTAGGTAATTTTAAATGAAGGCTATAAAGTGAAATAACTGCAGCGAAACATATTTATTCTTTCATTTTCTCATAATAGGTTGTTTATTTTTATGTCCTCATCCCTTACTAAGATAATTAGGATAAAACATAAGAAAATGTCATTTTAAGTACCAGCTTTGATTTAAAGTAAGATATTATTAATCTTACATTAAATACTAGAATCATAAGATTATCTGGTGAGGCAACCTCTTTGTCTCATTAAATGACCAAGTCTAAATAATATCAGAGAATTAAAACTATATCTCGATTTTTATGATCGTATTTCCTTTTAGAACTGAATCTGGATGCATATTCTATGAAATCTCTATATTAAAGTCATTTCCCATTAAAAAAAATTATGAATGGCACCTTTTGGAAATACAGACCAAATCCAATAAATTACAAGGGATTATCTAAGTTCTGCTATTGAACTGGAATTTTGTCAGTTATTAAGTATTACTTAAAATAAGTGTATCAATTTGATTTATAATGAGATTTTTGTCCTATGTTGTAGCTGCATTTGATTTGTAATTTGTAACTTCCTTTTTTAATTTTCATGTAAACCTTCTAAAAGTATAGTGTTTTTACCTTTTTGCTCATAAATGTTTTGATTTTTAAAAGTGCATTGTCTTCAAAGGAAATTTCTATTACAATTAAAGTAAAATATTTGCAACATGATAGATATTTCTTAAGGAGATGTGCCATCGAAATACAGCTAAAGTTACTAGTTTGCTACTGCCTTCTCAAGATCACAAATGCATGTTTTATACAAGTCCTATCAATGGGGCATTTTGCCTGAGTAAAAGAACTATAGGATGCAAGTCTGTTTTCATACTTTTGAATACTCCTTTTGAAAAAATTGTACTTGCTTACAATAACTATGATATTTGTGGACTTAGATAACTGTAATGAGAAACAGATTAATATTGCTTCATTATATCTCGATGAAAATCATGTACCAACAAAACCTGGGAAATATTTGTTATTTCAATTATAATTCCTTTACTTGTTTGCAGAATCAAGATTAGAGGGATGGCTTTCATTGCCTGTACGAAACAACACTAAGAAGTTTGGATGGGTTAAAAAGGTAATTTAGTACTGTATGGTTAGATTTTCCCAGAAATAGTTTACTGGACTATTGCACATTTCACATAATCTTTGGATCTTGCTTTAGCTATGGGTTTTTGGTACAGACCTTGGAAGTGACAGATCTGGTCCATAGTACTTATACAGATATGTAAGAAACTCCATATATTAGCTGCTAATCAGAAAAAATATTTGTGTTGATGGCAAAATGGGGTTGTAGCAAATGGGATTGTACAGTGACTGAGCAGAAAGGGACCACAGTCATTGAGCATGCCAAATTAGCTTAAATCCTTTTAGATTAGATCATTGAACAAAATCTTCTGTATGACACTTAGATGGGCTTTTATTAAATGTGGCCTTTTTTGCCATCTCTTCCTCAGGACATACTATGCCTGTGATCAAACTTTTCACTGTCTTTGCTTTTTTGTTTCCTACTTAGAGAGTTTGTGAGCCATCTTCAGAGATGTTCTTAGGTCCTTCAGACATACTAGAATCTGTTACTCATTGGCAACAGATTTTAAAACTGTTTTGTCTTTTTCATTTCTAATGAGAGTTTGAATTTCAATTTTATTTTACTTAGTATTTTTTTTGAAGAATAAGGAAATAAAATGTTAGCAAAAGCTTAACTTTAGATTATTTCTTCCTCATCCTATATTTACCACTATTAGATTTGATTATGACATGTTTATAGGTTCTGATTATTTGATTTTGTAATATCGTTGATAAATTCAGTAGCCTTGAATTAACTTTAGTGCTCAAGAAACAGTGCTGTTAGGGAGCAGCTAGGTGGTGCAGTAGATGGACCTCTGGCCTTGGAGTCAGAAGGTCCTGAGTTCAAATGTGGCCTCAGACACTTGATACTTACTAGCTGTGTGACCCTGGGCAAGTCACTTAATTCCAATTGCCTCACCAAAAAGCAAAAAACCAACAGAAAAACCAAACAGTACTGTTTAGTTGATTTATTTGAAGATTCATTTAAAGAAAGCGTATCTGAGGATTGTCAAACATTCCCTTTATTCTTATGCTAGTTTCAGTGATTTGGAGTTCGTGAATATTCTACTTTAGAACCCCGTCTTATTTTAGAAGGATCTCTATCATACTATGAGATGATGTCCTTTTGAAAAGCATTTCAAGTAAAAATCATCAACTATTGCTTTAAATAATAACATTTTTACTAAAGTCCCCTCAGTAATTCTTGTTAATTCCATTATATTTTGCATGCTAGCATTGATTTTTATTGCTGTACAAGAATTTTATATGCTTGCAAAAAAGAATAATTGAAACAAAGGCTATAATAACATGAACCTTAATATCCAGCTGTTTTTCTTTTAACAGTATGTGATTGTAAGCAGCAAGAAGATTCTTTTCTATGATAGTGAACAAGATAAAGAACAGTCTAATCCTTACATGGTGTTAGATATAGAGTAAGTATTTTAACACAAGATGGTTAGTAAATATAAATTTTCTTTATGTATTAAATTAAAATGGCTTTTTTTGAGTAGTTGATATATATTTCCCTATTCATTGAACAAATTAATGCCAGCATCACATTTGGGAATGTGGTATCATACACTGTAGAATGTAGCCATTGTTGTTTTTTTATACCTTGGGGACATTATTTAAACAAGTGATAGTACATGGTCTAAGGTTTTATTCATGTATTTATTTTATTTATTTCATTTATTAAATTATTAGGCCTTATTTAGTTGTGGGGTTTGTTTTTTTTAGTTTATTTTAAGATTCATCTTTGTTTTGAGCTTTTAAAGAATGTATTGTATTTGGAGGTAAACTATGAATTACCAAATAAAGTGTAGAAATTTAGAATCTGGAAGAAGAATTTATAAAATTCTCCATCAATGATGTTTAAATTATGTGAAGTAGTATGTATTCTAATTTTGTATAGTGTATGATGTTAATTTAATATGTCTCTTGAAATAATAACTCACATAATTTTATCCTTTTCTGATATTTTATTCCTTTACTTAACATCTGTTACAGCAAGTTGTTCCATGTCCGGCCAGTCACACAGACAGATGTTTATAGAGCTGATTCCAAAGAGATTCCAAGGATATTCCAGGTAATGTGGCCTTTTTTGCCATGCAAGATGCAATGCCTGTGATCAAACTTTTCACTGTCTTTGCTTTTTCTGCTTCCTACTCAGAGAATTTGTGAGCCATCTTCAGAGATGTTTTCAGGTCCTTCAGACATACTAATCTGTTACTCATTGACAACAGATTTTAAAACTGTTGTGTCTTTTTCATTTCTAATGAGAGTTTGGAATTTGAAGACATGCTCTTTGCTGGAAAGGAACTTAGTGTTTCTTATCTCTTTTAAGAATATTGCCTGTTCAGTTGTCAGGTTTTTGTTATTTTTCTTTTTTTATCATTAGATTTATTTTTACCTAACATTTCCATTTGTAAACCCAAGTAAGAGCATAATTACATTAACTTTTAAGAATGAAACAAGTAGCACCAGTAAATGTTTATTGATCATGATTTCCCCAAAACTCAAAAATTTTTGTAAGTGGAATAGTGAGCTATTTAGAGGCTTTGCTTGAAATATACCTCTATTCTCTCATCTTCTGTTGAAATTTCTAAAACATAGTTTTTTAAAAATCCAAAAAGAAAGACAGGGGAAAAACAGGGAGCTGCTTTAGTATCAAGACTTTGATTTTCTTTTATTGAGGTTTGAACAGAATAAAGATTGATAAAAATCTAATGATCTTTCCTCCATCTGAATAATATTTATTGTGATGTGACAAAATTACATGTTTTGACTTCAAATTGTAATTTCTCAATACATACTTTATGTTGCTATAATTTTTACTTGTCCAAATGTGGCTTTTTTATTAAGTGGGTAGCTTTTATTAGGAAATGACATGTGGTTCTCTTTTGATATATCTAGATCCTGTATGCTAATGAAGGTGAAAGCAAAAAAGAACAAGAATTTCCCGTGGAACCAGTTGGGGAAAAGTCAAACTGCATTTGCCACAAAGGACATGAATTTATTCCCACTCTTTATCATTTCCCAACCAACTGTGAGGCCTGTATGAAGCCACTTTGGCACATGTTTAAACCTCCACCTGCTCTTGAGTGTCGCCGCTGCCATATCAAATGCCATAAAGACCACATGGACAAAAAGGAGGAAATCATAGCACCTTGTAAAGGTAAGTAGTGAAACTAAATATGCTCGCACTAGCTATCTTTAAGAAAGAAATTGTGTTCTATAGAAATTAGATATATCTCACTGATAGGTTTTTAATGAGAATGTGGATAAACAGAAACTCCATTCACTGAAAACATTTATTATAGTGAATCTTTAGAGTGGTAATTTAGGCTTTGAGGGAGATAAAAAATTAGATACTCCCTCCTAAAGCTTAGAAACAATAAGGGGATGAGACATTCAAAATAACAGTACGACACTATATTGCATACAAAGTATATTAGAGAGGTGCAGAACGGTGTTATGTGACCCCCAGAGTGAAGGCTATTGCTAACCAAGGGGATCAGGGAAGGCTTCCCAAAGGTTGTGCCATTCAAGTTTGTAGTCACGCTGTTAGAAATTCAGCAGGAAGTAGAAGGAAAGTTTTCCAAGGATAGGCATGAGCACAAACAAAGAAAATCATGAAGACTGGAGATTGTAGTGCATTTAAAGAGAGGGGAATGCAGAAAATGAGTTTGACTAGAGCATAAAGAACATGGCTGGGGGCAGGGATTGGCGGGGGGATAGGGTTGTGGGGAAGTGGTACAAAGAAGAAGGTAAATTCTGAAAAGGTATTGTACTGCCTGTCATGGGGAGGGGGGCCTTAAATACCAGGGAAAGGAACTTCAGCTGTGTCCAGCAGTTGGTAAAAATAACAGCGGGGGGGGGTAGGAGGTTAATGATTTTTTAGTTAGTGGAATAACTAACATTTATGCATTAAAAAGACTTTCATGGCAGTAGTATGAAACATACTTTAGGAAGGAGACAGTAGAGAAGCTACCTGTTAGATCATTAGAATAAATCTAGGTATGTGGAAGAGGCATATATCATTCATGATTAAAAATACTAAGATATTGTTTGAAATATTTCATTTTAGTATACTATGACATTTCATCGGCAAAGAATCTGCTGTTGTTAGCCAATTCTACAGAGGACCAGCAGAAGTGGGTCAGTCGGTTGGTAAAAAAGATACCCAAAAAGCCCCCAGCACCAGATCCTTTTGCTCGGTCATCTCCTAGAACTTCTATGAAGGTACAGCCCAACCAGTCTATAAGACGGCCAAGTCGACAGCTTCCTCCAAGCAAACCAAGGTAAATTTAAAAAATCCAACAACATCCAAACTAACTTTCTCAAATAATTTAATGGAATTTTATGTAATACCATTATTAAAAGTATCCTATCACATCCCATTTTTCTGTGTTCATAATTCTATGAAACCTTGAATGTCAAATCCTAGAAACTTGTCAGCCTTACATCACATACATTGACTTGTATGAACATGCTATACATTTATTTAACAAATCGCAATCATGTATTTAAATATATTTGTATAGTAGAAAATGTGAACACAAGTGGAGTTTTTCAGTCAGTTCTTATAATTTGATGTTAAAATTGTTGAAGACAGAATTTATAAATAGTGTTGACTATTTTTAGAAAACAGGATCCACTTAATATTCAGTGAGGTAATGATCAACTTAGATCTTGTATATAAAAATTCTTTGTAAGTTCTAAAGTACTATGTAAGTATCAGCTATTATCATTGAGTAAGCTAGAGTGCTCTTCCTATTTATCATAAATAGAGGAACTATGTGGAGCAAAGGAACCAGTTCATCAATCTGATATCAGGTTCATAAACAGATTACACAACAGAGTTCCTAATTTAACTATAATAGAACATAGATCTTTATTATGTGGATTAATGTGTTGAGGCCACCAAATAAACAATAGTACACAAGAAAAGCCTGATATCACATGTAACTTTTGAGGACAGTGAGGACAGTTCTGTCTTAACAGAGTTTCCAGTGGCAGCAGCATTTAGAATTGAATCATTGTGTCAACATGAACTGTGCTTTTTTTCTTGCTATATAGTACTCTTTTGGGGTTCATTAATTTATGAATGCTTTCTTTGGAAGAAAAAACCTGCAGAAGCTATGTAATTTTTTAAATTTTTGTTAATTTTTTTTTTTAGTTCTGGCCCTCCCCTTCGAATTATTCTTCATTGACTTTTTTTTGTACATTTTGTCATAACAGTAAGTAATAGGGATCTTTTTATAAAATGCTGCATGTAGATTAAAACTAACCATCAAAACTCACCTATAAAAGTAATAGATAGCTGATGAAAATTTCTCAAAATATAAAGATCTTTCATTTAAAATTCTTCAAATCTTTAAAAAAAGTTATTTGAATTTTATAAAATTTATGTAGTGTTGTTTTTATTCTTTATAACATCTGAGTCTTTATTACTTTAATTCACAGCTATATTTGTGGGTAATCTCACTCTGATATATCTAAGTAAAAGGATTAATTTATTAAAATGAGTAGAATCAGTTGTCATAACAAAGAGACAAGAGAGAAAAATTATCTTAGGCATGAAACTCTTGGCTTACTTGTGAAATGGAGAGAGATGGCATTCAGAGACAATACTGGTTTAGAATATAAATTCATCTGTCAAGATATTATGAAAAAGAATGGCGCAAGGTTATGAACGGTATTTCCTAATGAAACAACAAGAAGCAGTTCAGGGTAGGGGAAATCAGTTTAAAGAAAGTTTGGTGGAGATTGAACTAAGCAAAGTATTGTCAAAAGTATTCAACTTAAGGAAGTAGGGTGACAGAAAAATACATGGAAAATGTTAGGAGAAATTTTTGTAACAAACTTTTTACCATCAAGTATGATGAACTACTGTGTTCAGACTCTAATATTACATTCCCAGATGTGCTTATAGAGGAATTGGAAATAGCACTGAAGAAAATGAAAATAGGAAAAGCAGTTGGACTAAGCAAACTATCCACAGAAGAGATGAATGCTGACATTGACATAGTTTTGAGGGTATTTAGTGATCAAGTCTCACGGTATTTAAAACATCTGAACACAGTAAAAAAGAAACAAAAAAGGAAACAAAAGTAACTCTTGATGTATAGGCCTATATAAAATTCAGAATGATGTATACACACGTTAAGGATGTTCTTGAATTTAAGTATTAGGAGGGAACAAGCAGACTTTCATACTCAATATTCTATTAATAGACTTTTTCTTTCCCATCATACAGTTGATGAAAGATGTAGAGAATATAAGAATCAACTGTACTTGTTGTTTATTGACTGTAAATGAGCATTTGATTCTTTGGGAGTTAAATCTCACTTCAAACAAGGTATCTCCCATGTGTATGCCAAAATTACTTAAGATTCTTTGAAAGATACATAAGAACAGAGATAATCTTATTCAAAAATATATTCACCAGAGGTGCTCACCATTGTCAAGAATGATATTCAGAGCAGATGCCAAGGTGAAGAGGAATTCCTATGGATGAAAAAGTCAGGATGTTCCTGTTTGTGATTGACATTGTGCTGATTGTATCAACTCCCAGAATATTGCATTATCTCTAAAGTGAGACCTATAATCATTCTGAAGAGTTTGGCACACAAGTGGGGAAAAAACAGTAATTAGCATTTATATAGTGCTTTAAGGTTTTCACAGATTTACCTGTGTTGTCATTTGATTTGATTAGTAAATGGCTACTATCTAAAATATCAGTTGGTCAGTAAACATTTATTAAGTGCCTACTGGATACAAAAAGAGACAAAAGACATTACCAATCCCTAAGGATGTCAAAATCTAATGGAGGAGTCAGCAAGTGATATGTACAGATAATTAATTAAAAGAGAGAAGGCACTAAAATTGAGAAATTAAGGCTTCCTATAGAAAATGGGATTTTAGGGGTGGCTAGGTAGCGCAGTGGATAGAGCACCAGCCCTGGAGTCAGGAGGACCTAATCAGGTCTCAGGCCAGACACTTGACACTTACTAGCTCTGTGACCTGGGCAAGTCACTTTAACCCCATTGCCTAGCAAAAACCAAAAAACAAACAAAAAAACCCAAAGAAAATGGAATTTTAGGAGGAAGCCAGGGAAGCCAGTCAGCAGATGAAGAGGGAGAGTATTCCCGGCATGGAGGATAGCCAGAGAAATAATCAGAGCCAAGAAATAGAGTGTCTTCTTTGTGGAACAGCCAAGAGACCAGTGTGACTGGATTGAAGAGCATGTGGCAGGAAATAAGGTTGGCAGAGGGATAGGTTTTAAAGGGCTTTGAATACTAAACAGGATTTTGTATTTGATTCTGGAGGCAATAGAGAGCCACTGAAGTTTCCTCCAGGTCAGTCGTCTGCTTAGTAAAATCACTTTAGCGGCCAAATGGAAGACAGATTAGAATGAGGAGATACTTGAGTAAGGCAGACCCAGTGGCAGGCTATTGAAGTAGTTCAGGTGTGAGGTGGAGAGGGCTTGCACCAGAGTGTTAGCAATGTCAGAGGAGAGAAGGGGTTGTATTTGAGAGATGTTGCACAGGTAAAATCTATGGCAGATCTTGGCAACAGATTAAATATTGGAGGGTAAAGGATAGTGAAAAATTGAGGATGACACCTAGTTTAGAGACTGAGGGCCTGGGAGGATTGTGTTACCATCTATAGTAATAGGGAAGTTAAAGAGAAAGGTAATGAGTTCAGTTCTGGATGTGTTGAGTTTGAAATATTTACTGGAAATCCAGTTCAAGATGTCTGAGAGGCAACTGGAGATTCAAAATCAAAAGTCAGCAGAGAGGTTAGGACACTATCAGTTGATTTGAGAATTATCAACATAGATTTGATAAAATTAAATCTATGATTGCTGATGAGATTACCAAATGAAGTAGTAAAGAGGGAGATAGCATGACCTGGATAAGAAGAATGAAGAGGAACCATTTGATAGAAGGAAAACCAGAAGTCTGAAAACCTAGAGAGTAATCTACAGTGTCGAAGGCTGCAGAGAGGTCAAGAAGAATGAGGGTTGAGAAAAGACCATTGCATTTGACAAGAGATAAGTGATAACGTTGATGGAATGATAAGTTGGAAACCAGATGGTAAGAGCTTAAGAAGAGTGTACGGAGAGACAGTGGAGACGTCGGTTGTAGATGGCCTTTACAAGGAGGTTAGAATGGAAGGATCAAATGAGGGTTTTTTGAGAATAAGGGAGATATGGGCATGTTTGTAGGCAGTAAGGAAAGAGATAGTAGGGACTGAAAAGAAGCGATAGAGTGGGCAAGACAGGGAGCAGTTTGTTTGAAGGAGACAGGATGGGATATGGTATGCAATTGAGTGGACAAGCCATAGAGCCTGTCCATCAGAATATCTATCTGTACCTTGGAAAGATACTGCAAATGAACAATGAATTGGGCCCAGGATTGAACATAAAGACTGCCTCTTGGAAAGTTGCAGATTTTTTAATAACCACAGATTTCTACCTAATATCTGTATGAATTATATGCATATTTTAAATTGTGATTGATAAGGAAGTGAAGTGTTAAAGAAAATGCTTACATGACTACCATATATGATGATTTTATAATGGGGTCATTAAAATGTAGAGTATAGCCAAGTGTAAATATGTAAACCTCCTATTACAGACTGCTTGATTTGGCATTTAAGGACTGGGATTGGTCATTTGATGATATTGATGATGATGGTGATGATGATGACGATGTTTTTGATTTCTGAAGAAATGAATGGGGTAATTCAAATGAGAAATGGATGCTTTCCTTTCTGCCTAGAGCATGTGGTTTGGATTTGGGCTTTTATGTTCCCTACTCTTCTCCCCCCCCAATATTTTAAAGTATCATTTAAAAGTTTTTAAAAGTTAAATTTCAGGAAACATTCCAATTAAACTTTCAAAAAGTCAAATAATGTACAGATGCATTTGATGAATTTTAGCGTACTTGGAACGGCAACTTGGAGTAGAATCTCTAAAAAATTTATAACAAAAGGTAATTCAAGAATACTGCCCATTCCAAGTTGCTTTGAAGGGGAAAGTAAAATTGTTTTCTTCTATTTGCTGTTGAGTTCATCTGTGAAAATAGCATGTTCTCCCTGTCCTCTTTCTTCAGACTTGCAAAGTTGAAACTGCAAGAGCTTTCCATTTCTTGACAGTGCTGTGAAATACCCTTTTCTGACTTGGCTTTTTTGTAGTGGTGTGAAGTGTTTGCTGGCTCATCTTATAATTCTGTACTTGGAGAATAATTCAAGCAGTAATGCTGATTGTCCTGATTGCTGTCATGTAAATATAAAGTAATTCAAATAATCACTGCTATGTTTGTCTAAGAGATAATAATCTTAACATGTTATCTTTTCAGCTGCAACCTAGTTTGGAAGAATTAGTGCATATTTCACCGTAGCACATAATTGTCAAAATTATACTGGGTAAAATTGGGCTATTTTCTTGTTCATTTTGACGTATATTTTTATATTTATTAGTTAACACTAATACACCTTCTGTTGCCATAATAGATTTAATTTTGCATACCCACAAATTGTTGCCCCCACATCAATCATGACAGTACTCTACTATGTAACTTGTAATATTAGCATCAAGTGGGGTTTGTGAAAATTAGTCCCACTAAGGGCTTAATAACTATGCCCACTGACGATAAGGCATAATTTTTTTTGAAGAATGTATACATATAGTGATGTGTCAGAATATCTTTAAAATTAGATAGGCTTGGAAAGAATTTGAGGTAACTATAATTTGACAAAGCAACTTCTGACAGTGACAATCTTTTTTTTCCTCCTCAGCTAACTGCCTTCTGTGAATGCAGTCACTATCCATGGTGATCATTTTCTGCCTGCTATGAACAAGACTGAAATGTGATATCCCCAAATTTATTAAATGAAAGAAAGAAGCTATATTTTCCTGAGAGATCGATATATATATATATGTATATATATACACACATACACACACATATACATACATACACACACACATACATATATGTGTGTGTGTGTGTATTTATAAATCAGTGGTTTACTTTTTGGGGGGACTGCAATATAAATCAGTAATCTTGGAGAGGTTTCCTCAGATCTTTTAAGGTGACTGATTAAACCAAGAGTCATTGGTAACAGAATAAAGACACTGTAGGAATACCTCCCTCCAAAGTCTTGTTCTACAAAACTCTGTTGGACGACACTACATTTCACAAGAGGACTGAGAAGAGTTGAAATAAAAGCGATTATCGTTCAGCTTCACTGGAGAGATTTCACCAGCATATTAAGGTTACCAGAAGAATTGAGGATTGGGAAAGATTCTACCATAGTGGTATATATAGACTGAATCCTTAAGAAGTGACCATTATACTGTGTGTGTATATATATATATATATAGTACTGTAATACTTCAAGAGGATTTTTAAGACTTTCCACTTTATTTTTTATACACATTGATCAGATACCATTACTTATTGCAGTTGCAACTATGCACTTGTATAAAGCCATAATGTTGAAGTTGATATTATTCATTCATATATATATATATATATATCTCCAAAAAAGCTGCATGTCAGTGTGTTTGAGCAGTTAATGTAATGAAAACGTTGAAGTTAATCATATCAATTTAATATTGCTTCATGATGGACAACCCTACTTTGCCATTTGAATGCCTTAATTTAAGTTCTTTACTTCCACCTCCCTTCCTCTGCCCCCCCCCCCAGTCTCAGCCCACTCTCTGTATTTAAAATGATAAAGGAAAACAAATGTTTACCAGCTCTTAGAATACAAATTTGCTTTGTGGAAGAAAAATAGAGCACTATTTTTACACATAATACTTATAGCAATTTCAGTCTATTTTGAATGTATAGTGAATGGGTTTTGTGTTTTTGGCAGGAAAGCATTGGTTACCAGGAATAATAATTGATAGTATGAGAACTAAGATAACTTCAATGTGTACTGGTAATTTTTCATCCAGCCCTTTTTACAAACCTCAGTATTATTCAGTGACTTGGTATTACTCTCATTAAGTGCTATGAAGCTTTGTTTGCCTTGTTTGTGTCCTGGCTCAGTTTTGTTGTTTTGTTTTTGTAGGGAGAAGGGGGGGCAGTCATCTCTACCTTTTACATTTTCACACACAATACAAGTATTCAAGAGTTATCACAAACTTTGAAAAAAACTAAAACATACTGTGGATATATCGTAAATTTTTCTATACTGTTCTCAAGGACATGGCTGTATGTATTATTTCAGTTGTGTGCTAATGAGAACTGATACCTGGGAAGAAGGGGCCTAAAAGCACTAAATTGAATTTATTTTTTAAATTCAATCTTGTATAAAAATAGAATTTTGAGGGCTCATTTATTTTGTATTCATCACCACCCCAGAAAATTGCATGTTGTATACAACTACAGTATGCCAGAATGTTAAAGATATTTAGAGTAAAGAAATTATGTACCTTCTAACTGGTTGGTCTCTATATCTCTAGATATATATAGATTGTATATTATATCTATATCTATCTATATCTATAGAGAGAGCGTGTGATAATTAAAATATATCACCCAACATTTCAATGAAGGAAGTAGACATTTCATTGTTCCTTTCTCTAGGGACAACATAGAAATGTTTGGAAAATTAGGACCACAATTATAAAATACTATCATGGGAAGCTGAAGGTGGCCTTTGGCCTATCATTGTATGAAAACTAAATTCTCTCTCTTCTCTTCTCCCACCCCCTTCCTCTCACCTTTAACAGAATCGATTTATTGAATATGCACTCTTTCATGTTCGCTGTGAACCCTTAAAACTAGAATGTGCATGCCACTTCATTTTCAAATATTGGTTTGTTGCAATCTAGTTTTAAAGCACAGCATGTTTTTTAAAGCGTGAAAAAAATATATAAAATTTATATAGAGTAAATATTTCCATTCATTAGACTTGTTTAAATGAGACTGAATGCATAAATATTTTATATAAAGATTTTGTTACATTGTGGGAAGTTCTATCCTATTATTCTGAATTGGAGAGAATATATAAATATATATATTTTTTAATAAACTGTTTTAAGGTGAAATAGTTTTAAGTTTACACATGGTAATTGAAATATTTGAATATAGAAGGCAAAAGTGGGTGTTAAAAAGTAAACTTTGGAAGATGTAAGTAATTGAGAGTATGAAGAATCATGGCATCTCTTCCATATGAGGGGAAACATGAAATTTCTCAAAATTAGATAATTTGCTAAGAAAAAAAATTCTCTCCCATGGAGATTTTCTACATTTCATTTTATTGACATAGTCAAGGTTTATGAGGTTGGTTTCCCATTTCAAACAATAATTTTTCCCCTAATTATTATTCCCGCTTCAGGTAAGAATTTGCCATTTTCCCCTTTGTAACCTTAAATAATGCTCTATGTATGCATGTACCTATTCAAATGCAATCTCTTCAGCATATTACATTCCCTTGGCATAGATACCTAATTGTGCCAATCTCCATTTTCATACTGTCCTGGCAAGTCCCCAAATTAAACATTCTGTGGATTATTCCACTTCACACCATTCAGATTAAAATATTTTTAAGTTCAAAAACAGCTTATCCATAATGCCTGCTGCATTTTGTCAGGCAAGACCTCTATCATAGACACAAATATTTCCTGTGGATGTAGGAGTAAAGAAATGCCACGTGGAAGAGGAATCATACCATTATCATCTTTATCTGTAGTGCCAGTGATTTTACTGCAAATTTAAAGTACACACCAAATAAGTATTTCTTTTATCCATCAGAAAGTAAAGGGGCCTGGGGTCAACTGATGAATATATAGGCATGCCAATAAAAATAAAATAAAGGGTAGCCTATATAAAAGCTGAGCCATAGTAATCTTCAGTGACTCAATTTTTATGACCCTATACCTAACTAAAAATTCTTAACAATACATAAAATGGGCAGCCAAATTACATTTTAGGAAAGAATGCTGCTGTTGATGATCAAGCCTTTTGCTATCCTTTGTAGGAAAATGGAGATAATTATAAACAATGCATTGACTTATTGATACTTGCTTAAACATTAGATTCTATAAATATTTCTCATGCCTGAGGTGCACTGGTCCAGTGATCAGAGCAGAGCCAGGTACATCTGAATTTATAAATTAGTTTGGATACTAGCATTTGGCTCCATACACTTGCCTTAGAATTTTTGCAAAGTTTTTGGGCCTCCCTAAATCCCCAACTGTGTTGTGAGGATACTGTAGAACATTTTGTAAAGCACTTTGAAGAAGCACTGAGATGTTATGCCAGAGGGTTTACTCTTGTCTTCCATCTGCCCCTCATCTACAAATTTTATTGGGAATGGTTTTGAATGAATTATGAAATGCACAGCTTACATAGTCATTACACAAATATTTTTTTCCTTTTAAACACCAAACAAAAAAAAAGAATCGTAGCCCCTGGATTTAACTTCTGGAAACTTTTGTCGCATCATCTTTGTAGCATTGTGATTGTATCCTATGCCTGCTTTTGAAAAGAAAATTAAATAAAAGGAATTGAGAAGTATGCATTTTCATACTTTTCCTGTGAAAATACAATTCTGGAATGCTTCAACTTCTTAAAGCTTACCACAGGAATTTTCCTTCAGTGAAAGATGGGTGTAGCAGGCATGCTTCTGACTTAGGTAATCAAACCTGGGATTGTGCTTGGGAGTCATGGAAAAATATAAATCAGAATTTCAGTCAGCCTTTCTTCATGACCAAGCATTTTGGTGGGGTTTGTCTTGTCTTCTCTGATATATTTAAGTTACTAGAAATAGTTCATACATGAAATTTATGGGGATGGGGAAAGGGAGGCTTGGTCAGAAACTGATACAGGGGTCCCACTAATTTCTTAATTTGGATGCAGGTAGTTCTTAAAATTATAAAGGCAGCAATGACAAATCCCCACAGGCATCAATTCTGTAGTTACCAAATGTAGGCCTGTATCCTAACTATGCCTCTTTCCAATTGTGTGACCACAAGCAAATCATTTCACTTATGGACCTTGGGTTCCTCACTTAGACCACAGAATTCACAGGGTAATTTTGATGAAAGTACTTACTTGCTTTGCAAACCTTAATAGCTTAAAAATGCGCTAAGATTTTGAACACTCTGTATTTTAGTATCATTTATTCAGGTGCATAGTATGCACCATAGTATGCTGGAAAGGTACTGTCTTTGAAGCTAAGAGGACCTGGGTTTTGCCTCAGACACTTTACCCATGTGACCCTGAGCTTCTATGGATCTCAGTTTCTTCAACTGTAAAATGAAGGAATGTTGAGATCTTTTCAAGTTCTAGATCTACAATTCCATAATTTTCAGTGTTTTTTCTCCTTCTTGTCCATTTCTGGAAGGTGTTTGGGCATTTGGATATGTTTTTGTTAAATTTTATTTTGATAGTTGCCAAAGCTCCTCCTTAAATCCCCACCCCATTATTTTATCACAGTAGACTAACTCTTTATTCCTTTTGCTGGCTGTAACCCTTAACTTGTACAATGGAAATCCAACTAGAAAGAAGAATTCACTCATTTTCTACTTTGTAATTACAAAATATTTACAATTTGCCTGCATGGGAGAGGCGATTTTTAATACAAGTAGTAATAATATCATGAGATAATGTTTTCTCTTTTTAGCCCCATCATACTATTCTGAAGGGGCTGACAACTATTTAAGCAGTTTAAAAGCTACCAGCTATAATTCCACTCAAGTCTTCCTGAAGTGCTTCACCATGACTTGAGCTCCCAAAGATTTGCCAACAATAAGCAAGCTTGGCATGCCCTGTTAAAACTGGAAAGGCTCAAATATGGGCCACTTACTATGTAAAATATAGATCCAACTGTGGATCTGTCTTAAGGAGACAAACTACCTAAGACTTATCAACTTGACCCACTGAGTGATAAAATTTTGTCCCAAAATCTCTTAATATCCACTAAGTTAAAGCAATAGTACCCATATAGATTCTTGAAATGTGTATCATGACCCAGAAATTCATGAAAGTTTTAAACCAGCCAATGTTCAAAGTATGAATGTTTATTTTACACGCTAATTAAATTTAAACCTTTTTTTAAAAAAACCAAATTTGCATGCAGACAAGCAGTTAAAAGCAATGAGAAAAGTTCACACTTCACTTCCACATATTTTACTTAATTATAGGGTCAAATAAGAAGGAAAGGTATAATATATGGGAATTATGCCAAAATGGCAGCTATGGATATAGTAGAAAGCTCATGTTCAAATACTTGAACCCGTCATTAACCCCTTGTGATTTAGTATGGCCTGTATTCTAATACTCATTCTACCCCTTGGGCCAATCATTTATCTTCCCCTGAGCTTTATCTTCACTGAAACTATGGGATCAACAAATTCCTTATTAGTTCTTCTATCTTTGGTTAAATCAATGCCCTTTTCTAGATTGTAAAATGAAGGGTCCTTTCCACCTAAATCTTATGAGCCCACAGTGCATGTATTTGTTTTCAAAAAAACTGGTCTTACCCAGCTATGTTAGTTTCAAAATCCAGTGAAGATAATTGTGTAAAATGTCCCTTCCAATAATGGAGGCCTTATGTGAAACCAGACACCATAATGGAATTGCCATGTGTAACTGCAACTATAATCTCATCATCCTTTAGGAAATGACCAAGGCACAGTGAGATTTTTAATGACAAACAATTTGAGCTTAAAGTGCTATAATGGAAAGAATGATGGCCAAGGAGTCAGTATATATCTTAAGTGACTTTTTGTCCCCCTACAGTTTCTCTGTAAAAAGACAGATTTGGACTAGATAACTAATAAGATCCTTTCTGGTTCTCAACAATCTGAAATCTTTGGGATACAACTCCAGCTCTCCCTGTTCAAATAGCTTGCACCACAGGAAAAATGGGAACAGCACATACATTCTAGCTTCAAGCTGAAAAGCAGAAAAAGGTGTTTAGATAGTAAGGTTGCCACATTTCCATTATCATACTGATTTTAATATCCAAATGACCTTGCTTCACTCATGCTGGAGAAAATAAGTTAATTCTCTTCTGGTCCAGTTTGAGCTATATTTCATTCTGGGGATGCTCTGTTATTGAGCCTTTGTAGCTGTTTTCCTATAGTGAAGTACTGTAGCTGTTACCCATATATTCAGAGCCAGCATGATCAGGAAACGGACAAGAACTGAAATACAAAAATAATGTTAAATATTAATAGAACTGAAATACCAAAATGTTAAATATGAACAGTTCTCTTGTAATTGGAAGACAAAATCATTTATTAAACCAAACTTGCACATACTCAGGGAAATGAAGTCTTGCTGTGATGGTTGAGCCATCACAAAATCAGCCACAGATTTTCAAAACAAATATGGCAATACTTTTAAGTTGAAAAGATTTTTTGTTTTCAAATGTGGAAGCTTAAGGAGAATCCAGTTATTCTTTTTTTTTTTAATTCTTTAGAGGATAAAGACGGCTTTAAAAGCTTCATCTCAGGTAAAGGGGTTTCACATGACAAAACAGACCTAGAAGTTAACTTGTCCAAGGTTAAAGTAAAGAACAGAGATCTGAGATTCACAGGTTCTCTGATCTTAAAGCCAGCACATCATCATGCTGCTGATTCTTCCCTACATGCTAGAGAACACACATTCCACAAACCCAGTGTGAGGAGGAGGAGGAAGAGACTGGATGACCCACCAAGCTCTCATTCACTTATTTCTGCAAAGTACACACTTCCCTGAGGAAGAGGAAGAGGATACTTGTAAGATTGACTGGATTTAGAGCTGGAAGGGACCTTGGAGATAATCTAGGAAATCTTTTCATCTTACAAACGAAAAAGTATGGCAAGTTTATAGGCAAGTCTATAGCTGGAGGCACACCCTTTTTTTAGTCTTCCCTTTTAATCCATGAACTGGTCAAAATTCACAGTACCAGTATCAACTGCTTAAGACCAAGGAGAAGCTGTTCCTGTTTACTAATTTCTAAAGTCTACAACAGACTCACATGAGCTAACAAATACCTCCCCCCAAAAAAATATCTGGATTACAGTAAAAAAGCATGTGTAATTATCTTATGAAATTAAGTGTGTATTGGAGAGAGGCAAGAGGAGCGGATGCTTACCCATAAGCTTACTTACCCATAAGATCTTGTGTGGTCATTAAAGTTGTTATTACTCTTGCTATAAGTTAAAAGTAATCAGAGTTACTATTCCATTTTTGCAATAGTTTTATAATAACATGCAAATTATGTTAATATACTGAGAACAACTTGTTTAATATTCATAATTCACCATCACAGAATGTTAAATCTGGAAAGGACCTTAGAGATCATGTAGTCTGAACTGTTTCCCATCCCCCTCACTTCTGCCAATTTTTCAGAAGATAAAACTGAGGTTAAAGTCTGAACAACAGCTGACATTGATAGAGCTCTTGGGAGCCCCCAAAGCTCATTTAAACCTCACAATGGCCTGGAGAGTTAATGTAAGAACATAGTATTATCCCTGTTTTACACATGAGGATACTAAAGTTCAGACAAGTCAAGTGATTTGCCCAGTCACAGAGCTAAAAAGTGGCAGAAATGAGATTTGAATATAGGGCTTCCTGATTCCCACTCCCATACTCCACACAAGTTCTTCACTGCAAGATGTTCTAAGCCCAATTGGGAAGCAGCTTTCCTTAAATACCCACAGGCACAGAATGGAATCACATAACATTTGAAATGAAATCTTCCACTTAATCTTTCAGGAGCCAGTAAACTTTTGCAATTATATGCTCTCTTGTACTAACTCTGTTTAATTCTCTGGTGTCTGGTGCAGAGATGAAGTCTGGCCCACTGATGGACCATTTCTAGCATCCGAGAGCCACCCTTTGAGAGTTTAGCTTCACCAGAAGACTAGTCACAGGGGGCCACAACAACTTAAAAACTATTAACTAAGTCAGAGAAAGGGGACATCAGTGGAAGGAGCCCTTCCACACCAATGAAATCACAAACTTTTTTTTTTTTGCAATTGGGGTTAAGTGACTTGTCCAAGGTCACACAGCTAGTTAAGTGTCAAGTGTTTGGTCAGAGACCATATTTGAACTCAGGTCCTCCTCACTTCAGGGCTGGTGCTCTATCCACTGTGCCACCTAGCTTCCCCTGAAATCACAAACTCTTGAAGAATATTTAAATTATATCTCCTCAAAGACAGAAATGAAGCATTTCACTCCATATCCAAACCAGTACCTTAATGTTCATGGCACAGGGAAGATGACTGGCAAAATATTGACTGAAGGATTCAAAACCCATCTCAATTTGCTGGCTACTTTCCAGGTGGGATAATTTTCTCCCCCAGCTATAGAGTTTCTACTTCCTCTCAGAAAGAGAAATATGGAACCCAGGCAAGGCTGCATATAGTTCCAATGAACTGAATAGAGTAAATACTAATAAATTTTTATATTTGCTTTACTCTTTGACATAATGACACTGGAAATTTTCTATTTCTCAATCCTGATAATCATTAAAGAAAGCCTAATCCATTACAACTTGAAAAGTAATAATAAAATAGCTGTGTGGTATAATTTGTAAAATGCTTTATGAAGTACTTTAAAACCATTTTAAAGATGGAAGAAACTGAGGTTCAAAGAGGAGGAGGGGTGGGGGAATGAGTTATATGAAGCCCCCATAGTTCCATAGGCTGGAACCGGAGTCTTCTGATACCAAAGCTAACACTTTTTCCATTATACTATGACTGGCTCATCTTCAAATTCTAAGTTTAGTCTCCAATTTTATCTCCAATTCAACATCCCTCATTCAACAACTAATTACTGATCACTCACTAATGAGAGGAAGTCTAAAATTGCAAAAAGAGAACACGAGACCCAGTTCTACTCCTTGACAGCTCCTTAACAGCTTGGACAAGAAGTCTTAAAAATTTCAGTTTCTTCTATAATATGGGGATGATGTTTGCTCTGGTTCCTTCACAGGAGTAAAGTCATGAAATTGCTTTGTAAACTCTTAAGGTCCCACAAAAATGTAAGCTATCATCATAGTGTACCCAGCACTGTGCTGCTGAGGATACAGAAAGTCTAAAATATGGTCCCTGCCTTCAAAGAGATTATAAATGACCGAAATCATAAGTTTCTCTAACGATAAATGATCTAGCAGTAGTAATTTCTGAGCAGTTATTTACCTAGCACTTGACAATTTGTAAAATATTTTAACAATGTGTCCATTCAATTCAGCAATCTTGTAATATACACTGATGATGTATATAAATGACTAGCTTAAGGTCACATAGGTTAGGACAGGGGTGGGAAACCTGCAGCCACAAGGCTACATGTGGCTCTCTAGGTCCTCAAGTGCAGCTCTTTGAATGAATGCAAACTTCACAGAGCAAATCCCCTTAATAAAAAGAGTTGTTCTGTACAACTTGGACTTAGGGGCAGCTAGGTGGTGCAGTGGATAAAGTACCGGCCCTGAAGTCAGGAGGACCTGAGTTCAAATCCATCCTCGGACACTTGACACTTACGATGTCAAGCTGTGTGACCCTGGGCAAGTCACTTAACCCCACTGCCTAACCAAAAAAGACTTGGAGTTAGTCAAAAAGCTGCATCCAAGGACCTAGAAGGCCACAGGTTCCCCACTCCTGGATTAGGATCACAACCCCAAGCAAATTAATTACTCAAAGACAAACTGAATTTCATGACTTCATTCAGAGAAACATCACAGAATAATTAATATTGGGCCAGATCTTTGGAGGGAAGAATATTTTTAAACCATTTTATCTCCTTGTTGCCAAAACTGCAAAATCCTACAAACTAGAATTTCCTTAACTATTTTGGCCTTGGAACACTTCTGGTCTTGGTCTATATAGAAGGGATTCCTAAGTGCTGGCTGGGACTTCTGTGGGGGTACTCATTACTTCTCCAGGGAGAAAGTTGAGCTGAGGAAGTTTTGGAACCAAAGAGACCTGTTTTCAGAAGGAAAAACTATACCTTTAATGAGTAATTTTTTTATGTTGACATAATCATAGTTAATGAGGCAGCTAGGGAGCATAGTGGATAGAGCACAGGGTCTGGAGTCAGGAAGATATAAGTACAAATCCAGCCTCAGACACTTACTAGTTGTATGACCTTGGGCAAGTCACCCTGTTTGCCTCAGTTTTCTCATCTGTAAAATGAGCTGGAGAAGGAAATGGCAAACCACCCCAGTATCTCTGCTAAGAAAACCCCAAATGGGATCACAAAGAGTCAGGCATGACTGAACAACATCACAGTTAATATTCTGGAGAATGGCAATATAGCTAGAGCCTCAATACTGTCTCCAAGAGTACCTAGGGCATCTTATAAAACACCGGAGTTCCTATTTTAAGTGAACACTCTAAGGCAAAAAAGGCAGATTGCATCCCATCAACCTTATAAATATGTAATAGTGGGGTTTTTTTCTACCTAGGGAGCATAACTATCACATACCCTGAGCACAATACTCTCATATAGCTAGGTTTTTATTTCCGGACAGACAGCATGAAGGAGAGTGAGGCTGCTGTAGCGCTGGACCTTGAGTTAAGAAGACCGGGGTTCAAATCCCACCTCAGCTACTATTTATTAGCTGTATGTCCCTGTACAAGTCACTTAACCCTTCTCAGTTTTCTGAGCCTCAGTTTTTCTGATCTACAGAATGAGTAATAATGGCAACTACTTCCCAGGGTTGTTGTGAGGATCGAATAACATAAGTTCTATAAAGCGCTTTGCAAATCTTATAGTGTTATATCAATATATAATGCATATTTTACAGATAATAATATACAAATATATAATAATATACCTATCATATGTTACATTACTATGATATTAATAGTGCACTTTATTATTCCTAAGAGTCCAAACTCAGCAGCACATTGCTCTTCCCACCTCTGCCTCTGCCCCCCTTCCTTACTTGCACAAGTATATGAAGACATGGTCCAGGTCAGGGCACTCACTGCACCAGAGTCCCTTGCCTCCCACAAGTACTGGAGCTGGGCAAACTTGCTGGCAGCGCTAATAAAGGTGCACAAATTCTGTTGCAGAGAAAAGGGGAAAGAATCAAAGTCAAGATCTAGTTTGTTGCCAACAGCTAACCAAGCATGAGAACCTAAGTTTCTTTTCAAATGACAGGCAAACTGTGTTGAGGTCAGAACCTCTGTGTGGTTTAATGTACCAAATATTGGGAAATAAAAACTCCTTCAGAACATAGAGCATTTCAGTCTTTGTATTTGTTTCCTCAATGTCGAGTACAGGGTCTGGCCCATAGTAGGCACTTAATATATGCTTGGGACTGAATGATTAAATGGATACCTTTAAAAATTTAGTTGCTGTGGGGCAGCTAGGTGGCGCAGTGGATAGAGCACCAGCCCTGGATTCAGGAGGACCTGAATTCAAATCTGGCCTCAGACACATAACACTAGCTGTGTGACCCTGGGCAAGTCACTTAACCCCATGGCCTAACCAAAAAAAAAAAATTTTAGTTGCTGAATGAGACCTGAACTATAGAAATCAATAGGTGGTCAGGGTCAACTTTTTAAACCTAGCCATTCTGGAATCAGGTGACTTAGGTTTGAATCCCAGCTCTACTTGTTCCCTGTATAACCATGGACAAGTCGTTCTACCCATTAGGTTCCACCTCACTTTCTTTTCTCTTTTTAGTGTGGAAAAGGAGAAAGAAAAGGTCTCTTAATATTAGAAATGAGAAAGAAATAGCCTCAATGTTAGCCCCTCTGCCCTAGCTCTAAATCCAGTGCCCTTCAACTTATACAATTCCCTTCCCCAAATACTTCACTCTATAGAGGCCAATGAAGCCCAGCATACTAGACTTGCCAAATTCACACCGCAGAATCCAGAATGAAAGAAACCTAGGTCTCCTACCATTGGGAATAAGTGTATGTGACAAGCATTGTTGAAAATGTCATATTTATAAGTACTCATCAAGACATACAGAGATATACACCTAACCAGCCAAAGCAACTGGATCTTTTTTTAAGCAGGGCATGAAAATTTAGAAAGCACAAGGCATAGTTACTCTAATAATGAATTCTCCCTCTTGCTCAACTGAATATCTTACTTACATCTGGTATTATTTTCACATCATGAATTATAAAGTTAATCTGAGGGCATTTTCACGTTGCTTATCCTAGGCATACTGCTCCCCTGGTGCCAAAATTACTAATTACAGCTCTGATAATTAATATTATTGATGTGAAACACTTAACTTCTATTGATGCCCCATTGTGGCATGGAAGTGAACCTGGGTTCTCAAAGGCCACCATGCCAGCAAAACTCAAAAGTCTGGCAGGTCTTAGCCAACTGGAAGAGCTTCAGGTACAGACTGTGCAAAACCTAGCAGCCTAGCAAGGCTTGGAGAGGTTCCTTGCCTGAAAGAAGATTGGCCAGCAGACGGTCTTTGGTGGGGGTTGGGGGGGTTGGGGACAACAACTCACAGAGATGGTCTACTACCACCTGCAGTGGTGTTATGGAAGAAGTACCAAAACCCCTGGAGTAATTACAGAAGCACGTAAAACAGTAACAACAGCTCATATTTACACAGTACTTCTTGAATTGCATTTCATACATTACTTCACAGGATTCTCCCAACAAGCCAAGATTGTATCCTTGCTATACAATCAGTTAACACCAAGGCAGTTATAGACGAGAAGGCAGAAATAGAAAAGAAAGAACAAAGCCCACTTTTCAAGGGGTTCCAAAGTCTGGGTCTACCCAATAATGGGCAAATTGCCAACAAACAGCCCAAGAGTCTTGGGTGTGATGAACAGGTAGTGGGAGTATCTTATCAACTCAGTGTCCCTTTTCTTCTAGGGTTGGGTCAAAGTGTTTAAGGACAATTTTCCTAACTGTCAGTAAAGTCATACTACTCCCTTTTGCCAAGAGTAAATTGCCAGACCCAAGGAAAGAAAATGTTCTTTGTTCACCTGTCTGTCCTATGTATGAAATATAACCTGGTCTAGTGCACAGAATACTAGGTTCAGAAGTGGAAGACGTGGGTTAGTGATTTGCTCTGACACTTTCTAGTTTTACTGACTCTCAGCAAATCATGGCGCCCTAGTTGCCTTATCTGTTCAATAGGGATAATCATATTTGTGCTACCAACTCATAAAGTTGTGAGGAAAATAACTTTGTAAACCTTAAATTCATAAAGCTGAAATTATTTGTAATGGCCAAAAAACTGGAGACAAACCATGTGTTTGCTGGTTGGGGAACCATGGAACAAACTGTAGTAAACAAATGTAATGGGATATTATTACACCATAAGAAATGGGAGAAGACTTGAGAGGTACAGTGACATATACAGTTATCCCTTTCACATTGTGGGGGTTAGGGCTGTTGGCGCCCCTGTGATCTGGAAAATCCATGTAAATGTTTGGGCCCTCCCTTTTTACCAGAGAAGTCTGAATTATTATGGTATTAAAAGATAAAACATGTTGATATTAAGAAATACTATACATGTATTTTATGCATTTCTGAGTTTCTAAACTTTTTCTGTGTCATCTGCTGGCCTTTACGTGTTGTCTGTGGCTTCCACAAAATTCCCTATTTAATTTCTTATGCAACCTATGATATACTGAAACCACAATGGGGAAAGTTGTGATGTGGAAGGGATAACTGTAACAGATGAAGTCCCAGCCTTAGAGTCTGAAAGACTTGGCTTCAAGTCCTGCTTTGGACATATACTAACTGTAACCATGCCTGGATTGTACTTATTTTGAGAACTAGTTTCCTTCAGCTGCCCCCTATATAAGGCCTGTCCCTATGCCCTCTAGCTGACAAAAGAATTGCTCTGTGTGTGTGTGTGTGTGTGTGTGTGTGTGTATGTTATCCTACACAGAAAGAAAAGCTCAAAAGGGATTGTTTCATGATTGTCCTGTTATTCCCTAGAACCTACCACTGGTACATCATAGGTGCTTAATAAATTCTGGTTGATTAACTGTTCATTGCCCTCTGGCAATTCTCATACGACTCACAGGCAAGTTGCTAATACTGATGCAATCACAGGTTTGAACCAAAAAGTGGGGGGAAGACTTGTATGAGATGATGCCAAGTGAAGAAAGCACAATGAAAACAATATCCACACCAGTTACAAATATAGAAAGGAAAGCAAAGCTCAGCTAAATATACTGAAAAGAATTCCATAAGGATTTTATTACTAATTTATATACATTTTTAAACAGACTGACAACATTTACAGAATATATAAAGAAAATAAAATATTCAAGATCACATAAAATGATTTACAGTCTTATTTATGTTTTCTTTTGCTCTTGTTTGTGTATTTCAGTATTTATCAGTGTTCACTGACAGATCTTAAGTATAATTTTTTAAAATTAATTTTAGCAGTTAACATTTTGGAACTGTTGCTAAAAACCTACAGACCTCTGGCCCATAAAAAGAAGTGTGAAGCTATTTACTGGCCCCATTACATGTTCCCTATATAATTTAATCTCTTACCAATAAACACTAAGGCTTCAAAGACCAGAATCCACTTGAGGTCAGTACCATGAGACCTACTATGATGACACTGTCCAATCCATTTCTATTTGGAATAAACTATTCTGAGGATCTGTGAAATGTAAAATAAAGTATCCAAGAAAAATGTTTTGAAATGGTGACTAGGTTCCTGGAGTAATCCATAAAAACATAGTTTGGCCCATTACAAGTTCTGATACTGTTTCTATTGAAAAATGAATTCTGTAATGCTTAGAAAGCATGTTAAAAAAAAAGGAAATAGAAGCATTTGGCAAAAAGATTTAAATGACAAGAATAATAATTCATGGCATCTATACGGAACTTGATATTTTTCAAAGGACTTTCACATCCATTACATTATAGGATAAATGCTGATTATGACAATGAAAGTTTGAGATACACAAACATTTTCACTGAGAGATGGAAACTTACCATTGCCAAGTCTATTATCCACTTTTGAAGAGTCAAGAGGTACCATCCACCCAGAAATCTGTCAGAGTGTTAAATCACACAACAGCAGCACATGGTTTGTGACAGTATCATGACAACCGCTCAATCAACAGTAATCGAATCACACGTTGCTGCTGGAAAGGGCATGGCAATCTACTGCCCAATGGCTCTGTATACAATCTCTGTGACTGCCTTCACAAAGCTCCCACTTTTTGTAGGCTATTACTTCCCAGAATGTATTCTATTCCCATTAGAATGTCAAGTCCTTAAGTGAATAAATAATGGGGGGAAAACATTTATTAAGCACCTACTATTTTTCAAGCACTGTGCTAAGGGACTTTTGTATTTGTATCCCCAGATTATGCCTTTCTCCTTTAAGATTACCTTGTATCTACTTTGTATCAGTCCTATCTATACCTAATTATGTGCTCCCCCTTAAAAGTATAACCTTTGACTTTGTATTCCTTGGGCTTAGTATGGTTCCTGGTACATAATAAGTACTTAATAAACCAACCTGGATCCTCCAATATAAAGTATTTGCCTTTCAAAGCACGAATTGTGTATCATGATTATTTGTTTTTAATCCTCTTCTGAAACAGAGACTCCATACGGGGACCAGGAAGGCAGTATGGGACAGTGGAAAGAGCATCTGCTCTGGAGTCAGAGGTCTTTGGCTCAAATCCTGCCTCTGATTATCACCACCTGTGCACCCTTACTTGGGCAAGTAAAGTCAACCTTCTTGAGCCTCAGATTTCTCAACTGGAAAATGAGGAATAACAGCGAACTAATGGTCTCTGAGGTCCCTTCCAGCTCCAGTGTTATAATCCTATGACCCTCAGCTGGAATATAAACTCTATGTGGGGAAGTAAAACAGCCTCATAGAGTGCAAAGAGTGTTAGCTCATTCTCCAATAAGATAAATGGTCAAAGGACATGACAAACAGTTCTCAAAAGAATTACCAACATAAAATCTACATTCAAAGAATATTTCAAAAACACAGAAACAAAAAATCATAACAACTCTGAGGTTTTATATCAAACCCAGAAAATTGGCAAAGATAACAAGATGGGAATAGTTGATGCTGGGGTGGGGAAGATGCTGGGGTGGAGAAGTTGTCAGGAACATAGGCATACTAATACATTGTTGGTGGAGCTGTGAGTTGGTATAGCCATTCTGGCAAACCCTTTAACTATGCAAGAGAAAGTAATTAGTATGTCCATATCCTTTGACCCAGAGATTCCACTGTTAAGCATATACTCCATGGAAGATAAATGATAAAAAGGTCCCATATAACACTAAAATATTTATTGCACTTCTTTTGGTAGTAGCAAAGAACTGGAAACAAAGTAGAAAACCAAACTATTATACATGAATATGATGGAATATTACCATGTTAGAAACATTAATATAGAGAAACATGGAAAAAGACTTCAATGCACTACTATAAAAATAATAAGCAGAACCAGGAAAACTACACCTTTTATCAAGACTAGGGCTTCCCTATCTTGCTCAGACCGGAAGTGCAGCAGTCGCTCAGGCCCAATCCCACTGCTGATCAATGATAATAATGACTCACAGCTAACATTTGAATACTGCCAACTATATTCAGGCACTATGCTAAGCGCTATACAATTATTATCTCATTTGATCCTTACAACAACCCTAGGATAGGTACTATTATTATCATCCCCATTTTGCAGATGAGGAAACTGAGGCAAACAGGTTAAGCAACTTGCCTAGGGCCATACAGCTCAGAAGTATTAGATGCCATATTTGAACTCAGGTCTTCCTGACTCTAGGCCCAGAACTCTGTTCACTTGTACCATCTAACTGCCCTTAGGCACAGAAAAGTTAACTATTCATTTTCCTGACCTGGGCTGGTTTGCCCCTCCCCAGAGACACTTGTTACATCGGTGCCAAACTTAGTGAGGACACCCTGTTGGAGTAAGCCCCACTGCAGGTCAGAAATACAGAACTCAAATGATTCCTCCAGTCTTATCCTCTCCCAGAAGCAAGGATTAGGTTAAGATGTGCCCCACCACAACTAGCAGGAAAAATAAAATATACAACTACAAAAATGCAGATGGAAAGAACACCACCAAAACAACTGAAACTAAATGTTGTGAAATTATAAGGGCAAGCTTGGCCCCAAAAAAGGGATACGAGGAGACACTCTTCCCTTCCCATTTGCACATGTCTGGGTGCATAGGCATGGAGGGCTACATAAGATGTCAGGTTTTTTGATGCTAAGTTTTTTCTGCCTTACTCTTAAACTTTTTAATATAAGGGATGTTTCTCTGGGAGGGGGAAGAGGGAGAGATATAGTGGGAAATTTAAGTGATATCAAAACAAATGCTAGCAATAAAATTTTTTTTAAAAGAACACTATCTCAAGAGTCAGAGAACCTGGGTTTAAATGCCACTTCTGATGCTAATAACCTGTGAAGCCTTGGGGAGACTTAACTGAGTCTCTTTCCTTATTTGTCAAAGGATGGGCTTGGACCAGATGGTCTCTGAGGTCTCTTCAGCCCTAAATCTGTGATTTGATAACAGTGTCTTATCTACACTTTGCAACTTTTCTACTACCTAGCAAGGCAAGTGCTTAACAAATGTTTTGGAATGAATCAATGAAACAATTGAGCAAATAAAATGCCTGCTACTACTCCTCTCAGGTGCCCAGAGAGATGGAGTAATTTGCCCAGGGTTGCACACAGTTAGTAACAGACCTCTCACTAAACTCCTTCCTCATTCCCAATCAAGTTTTCTCTCCATTATCTCAGGTTGTGTCTTCATATTATGCTGCATTTGGGAAGACATTCATTTAGCTTTTCTTCTTTAGAAAAGACAAAGGATGATTTTAGCAACATCTACTCATCACTCAATAGGATGAAAACAAGAACCTTTAACGTATGCAATATTTTTCTGCTGCTAAATACATTATTAGGACAGCTAGAATGAAGAGGGGGGTGGAAATAAAGGGGTAAGAGTCTATTAAGTGTCTACTATGTGGCAGCTACTGTGCTAAGTGCTTTACAAATGTTATTATGACTTAGTGATTCCTGAATTAAAGAGACCTCATACCTATTTTAAAGGCAATCTCACAGCAGCAATTACGCATTCTATTTCCCCCTCCTCCCTAACCCCAAACAACGTACAAAGTAGCTGTGTTCAGTAAATTTCTATGAAGATGGAAGCATCCCAACAAATGGGATACTTTGTAGGATACTGAAGGACCTACTATGGGTGTGCAAAGCACCCAGTCAGATCCAGGCTGCCTACCCACTCCCCAAAGTGGCATAAATCTCCAAACATCATACCTGGCAGTGCTATGAATGGGTACATCCTCAAGTTGTAATAATGGTAGATCCCAATACTAGAAGTCAGTAGTCTTGGATTCTACTCCCTACTAATATCAATGCACTATGTGATCTTGGGCAAATTAATCAATAAACACTTATTAAGAATCTACTATGTGCCAGGCATTGTGCTAAGTGCTGAAGATGCAAAAAGATGCAAAAGACAGTCCTCAAGGAACTTACAATCTAATGGTGAAGACAACATGCAAACATAACACATACAAGGTAAACTATGTACGAGATAAATAGTAAATAATCAGCAAAAAGAAGGTAGTAGAATTAAGAGAAGTTGGGAACAGCTTCCTATAAAAGAAAAAGGGTCTGTAAAAGGTCTCTCTGTGTGCCTCAGTTTCCTCATTTGTAAAATATAAAAGTGGGACTGGATCATGATCCTCAAGGTCCCTTTCCAGCTCTACATGGAATGCCTGATTCTCATCACAACTGAAGTTGCTCTTAGGACCCACACAGCTGTAGGGACAAGTTTCTGTGACTATCAGAGCATGAATTCTATTGAAATTTGCAGCCTTGCCATTTACATGAAGATAAGTGTGGGGTTTATTACTATTATTATTATTATTATTATTATTATATATTTTTAACTTAGAAATACTTTAACTCTTTTCCAAGAAGCTTAAGACCTGAAGCTAATTTTCTGGTCAAGTAAAGAAGGTATAATATTATTCACATTAATGAAAGTATAATGATCACATCTAAAGTACTGTGTTAACTTCTGGGCACCACATTTAAGAATTTTTTTTTCTAAATACACGTTTTATTGATGCTTTACTTATCTACCATTCTTACATACCAATACAGATATCCCTTGTAACAAGCAAATATAGCAAAGCAAAACAAGCCAATACAGTATATGCCTTATTCTATACCCATAGCCCAGCACCTCTCTGAGAAGATGGAAATATTTCACATTCAGTCCTCTAAAATCAATTGGCCAATAAATACATCGATCAGAATTATCATGTCTTTTATTGTTACTTTTCTTTATTTTGTTGTAATTGTGCAAAATACACCACTAGTTCTGCTCACTTTGCTATACACCAGTTCATATAATCTTACCAACTTTTTAAAATTCTTGCCATTTCTTAATGGTATCATAATATTATATTACATTCACCCATTTCTAAATTGATACTTACTTTAGGTTTTTGCTACCATAAAAAAGTTCTACGATATATTTCTATGTATGACACTTTTCCTGCTATCTTTGATCTCTATGGAGTATAAGCCTTGAAATGGTACTGCTGGGCCAGAGAAATGTATAATTTAATGACTTTTCTAGTATAGCTCCAAACTGTTTTCCAGAATGGCAGAACCAATTCATAGCTCCACCAATGTTTATCAGTAACAAATATTGTTGTATCAGTGTATCTGGGGACAGTGAGGTAGTGCAGTGGATAGAATTGGGTGTCAGGAAGAATCATCTTACTAAGTCCAAATCAGGCCTCAAGCCACTTATTAGCTCTGTTAATTTTGTTCATGCAAAAATTTTACAGTGTACAACTTCGTAGCCATTTCCAAATCATGGTACCTGCACTCTGGTCCTCTACCTCCTCCCATCAGAACTGAGACTCTGCCCTTGCTTCATGGCCTCTGAGTGGTGAACTTTCGTTCTACCTTGCCTAGAACCAGACATTTCCTGGCCACTTCCATACTATGTTACCTACATTCTGACCCTTCTCTTCCTCCTCCTCTCACAGAAGGTTACCATATTTATGAAGGACACAGGCAAATTAAATCATGTCCAGAAGTGGGTAACCAGGATGATTGGAGGGCAGATCATGCCTTACGTGAATTAGCTAAAGGAATTGAAGATGTTTAGCCTAGAGAAGGGAAGACTTGTCGAGGGGTGCAAGGGGAGGAAGAAGAGTCATAGGGGGCATGACATCTTCAAATATCTGAAGAATCTCAGTTAATAACTTGCACACAGAAGTGCAAACAAGGAGCAATGGGTATGGATTATAGGAAGGCAAAATTCAGCTCAATCTGAAGAAAAGCTTCCTGACAATTAGAATGCTACAAAAGTACAATGGGCTGCACTGTGAGGAAGTGAGTTCCCTATTCATGAAGGTATTCAAGTAATTCAGCAATTAAGTTCAAAGAATATTTGAGACTAAGACTGGATGTCCTCTTTTCAGGACAGCCTTAACCAGATTTGAACCGAACTAGGTAAATGCTGTGGGCCTTTTCAAATCTAAGGTATCCAATTCCATAATTTTTGAGAATTGCCTGGTCCCAAGGGTTGCGAGGGGCTGAAGAAAAACTGAAAATACCAGGCAACACACAGAGGTTTGTTTTTTTGGGACAGCTGTCATTGTTAGGAAGATTTTCCTTACATTAAGGCTACTTGTCTCTTTACAACTTCCTGCACCAGGTTCTGCCCCCTGGAGCCAAGAAGAATGCGTCTATTAGGGGTGAAGAACCTGCCGCCTTGAGGCCATATATGGCCCTCTAGGTCCTCAAGTGCGGCCCTTTGACTGAATCCAAACTTCACAGAACAAATCCCCTTAATAAAAGGATGTATGATACACATGCTCACCTTTCAAATCCTTAGGATAGCTAAAATCTCTTTTCCAGGCTAAACATCTCAATTCTTTCAATGAATTCTCCTGTGGCACTGACCTGAGGCCTGTCACCATTCCAGCTGCCTCCCCTCTGACCATGTCTTAGCTTATAAATGTCCTTCCTAAAATGCATCACCCGATATTTCTGATTTAATCTGACCAGGGCAGAGTACTCAGACCATCTCATTTTTTGGACTTTTCCTGTCCTACATCCAGTGACAACTTTTATACTGTTTTTCCCATGCAACCCACGAAACAGTTTAAACCAGGGAAGAGACTTTAACCTGGGCTCCACAAACTTTCTGATAAGTCTTTTCTTCAGTCGTTTTTCAGTCCTTTCTGACTCTTCATGATCCCATCTGGGATTTTCTTGGCCAAGATACTAGAGTGGTTTGCCATTTCCTTCTACCATGTTACAGATGAGGAAACTGAGGTAAACAGGGTTAAATAACTTGCCCATGGGTCACACAGCTAGCAAGCGTCTGAGGCTGGACTGAACTCAGGTCTTCCTGACTCCAGATCCAGCCCTCTATCCACTATGCCACCTAGCTGCCCCTTTGATAACTATATTTCAGTATACTTGGCTTGCTTTGTAATCCTAAGTACTTATTTTATTTATTTAAAACATTATTCTAAAAAGAGGTCCATAGAGTTCATTAGTCTACCCAAGGGGTTCCATGTCACACCAAGAATAAGAACGCCTGATTGAAACTAATAAAGTTGTAAACCACTATTTTTAGTAATGGGTGATCTTTCACTAGGATTTGTGCAGAAATAGACCCTCAATGCAAGACAAGCAGCACATGAAACCATTTGTTAATTAAGGCATGAGAGGTTGCCATCTATGCTGGAGGAAGAAAGACCCATATTTATGGGATGAAATCAGTGAACTAAAGCACTGCATGTGTGCATTATTGTCTCTGTTAACGCACACATATCATCCTGAATGCTGATTCCCACTTTCTTAGCTCTGCCACCTAAGAGAAGCAAGCAAACTCTGGACAATAATGCACATGCTATTAATGAATAACAAACACCACTGGAATTTCAGCTTCTTAAAGATACCAAAAGGATACATGGCAATATATGGGACGGCCTGCTTCATGTTTCCATTATAATGAAAAACACATAGCAAGAGGACGATATCTGAAAGAGAAAAGTGGACAGAAGTGAGAGAGGAGACAAAGGAATATTTAAAATAGAACATAACAAATAGACCCTGGAGACCGGGTTGGAGTCTCACCTCTAACACACACCTGTGACCCAGGGTAAGACACTTAAGACTCCAGTATTCCCAGAATTCTTTAAGACTCAAGTTCACAGAGCAAGGACCATTCTGAACTTTTTAGAGGATGTTTCCTTCCAGGGAATTCCTTTTACCAATGAAATCCTAGGACTGGTCCAAAAAACCCCCCAAAGGTAATGATTACCTTGTGCAATGATGACTGGGTACTCCAGGTAGGTCAGCAGAGGGTAGCTGTAATAACTCTGGTACCGTAAAACCACAAGGAATCTGGATGGGAAAAAAGAAATGAATTCTGCTCAGAAAGGACTTTTCAAGAACTGACTGGCAAAGATAAAAATCATTAGTAGGATCAGCCTCTGAGAAGACTGAGGCTAAAAAGAAATGTAATCATTTAACAGTTTTTAAGTGACTACTGTATGCAAGGCCCTGAATTTGTTTTATTTTTATCATATAGATACACAGATAATTCCAAAAGTTTCAGTGGAGTCTTAAGCTACTTTTGGGATACTTTGTATACGTGTTTGTATAAGCAATCACCCCACAACTCCTGGGGAAAGTAACACATGAATAATGCAATTTTCTCCCATCCTTTTAAAGACCCAGTCTCTATTTCACCCAGGCTGGAAGTGCAGTGGCCACTCACAGGTCCAACCCCACTGCTGCTAGGTGCAGCTTTGACTTGCTCTATTTCCAACCTGAGCCAGTTTGTCCTTCCTTAGGAAGCTTGATGTGGTCCCCTGATCCCAGGGGCTCATTATATTCATGCCTGATTTAGTGCTACAGCAGCTTGGAACCCCTGAACTCCAGTGAACCACTAGCTGCAGCCTTCCCTGAAACATGGACTTCAGATGAGTGCTACAAGTCCTAGGCTTATACAATTCAATTTACATTTATTTGGCTTTTTTGGGGGGTGGGGCAATGCTATTGGGGTTCAGTGTCACACAGCTAGTAAGCATCAAGTGTCTGAGGTCAGGTCCTCCTGACTCCAGGTCCAGTGCGCTATCCTCTGTGCCACTAGCTGCCCCTCAATTTACATTTATTAAGCACTTCTGAGGTGCCAGACCAGAACATCTAGGTGGCTCAGCGGATATACTGCAAGTAAGACTCATCTTCCCGAGTTCAAATCCGGCCTCAAACATTTACTAGCTATGTGACCCTAGGCAAGTCACTTAACCCTGTTTGTCTCAGTTTCTTCATCTGTAAAATGATCTGGAGAAGAAAATGGCAAACCACTCCAGTATCCTGACCAAGAAAACCTCAAATGGAGTCATGAAGAATCAGAAACAACTAAAAAACAACAACAAGGTATGGGACTCTGTGCTAAGCTCTGAAGACAGAAACAAAAATAAAAATGCCTCCGGCCCTCTGGCATACACTCTCTGCCCAAGTGCTGACCACTCATCACATAAATGCAGCCAAGGAGGCCCTGCGGTTCAAGGGAAAAGACTGCGCTTTTGAGATAAGACTTTTGCTCATCTTAATCTCAATAATTTTTAAGAGTAGAAAGGGATCCTGAGACCAAAAATTTGGAGAGCTGTTGCTTTAAACAGCACTGCCTCTCAGATTCCAGTTTATCACTCATTGATATTTTCTGGTTACTAGTTTTTGTTGTTGTTCAGTCATTTCAGTCGTGTCTGATTTTTCATGACCCCATTTGAGGGTTTTCTTGGCAAAGATACAGTAGCGGTTTGCCATTTCCTTCTCCAGTTCATTTTACCAATAAGGAAACTGAGGCAAACAGAGTTAAATGACTTGCCCAGAGGCACACAGCTAGTAAGTATCTGAGGTCACATTTGAACTCAAAAAGACAAGTCTTCCTGACTCCAGGCCTGGCACTCTACCTACTGTACTACCTAGTTGTCCCTAGGTTACAAATCAGAGATCTGCATAGGATCATAGATTTAGAATTGGAAGGGACCTTTGCAATCATCTAGTCTAACCTCCTCATTTTACAGAGGAAACTGAGACTCAGAGTATATAACTGGCCCAAAGTGACTTCTTATCTCTGAGTGGCAGAGCCAGAATTTGAACCCAGGTCCTCTGATTCCAGATCCAGGGTTCTTTCCATAGGACTACAGGCACCACCCTGCCTCTGAGCTTCACTGAACCCACTGGCTCTTATGAAAATCAAACTCAAAAATTTCCCTGTTGTCCCTAAGTAATTCAGAGCATCCAACTCATTACTTTTATAATAACGATCTGTCGTTTTCCACACTATAAAAAGGCAATAAGGAAACATGAACTTATAAAAAGAAAATAAATAAATCGTAATAAGTTGTGTCTTCCTGGTGTCTTGTTTCTGACTAGGGCTAAGCTGAAAGCTGGACTCAGTTGAGGTCTGGCAGCCCAGAAGCTAGCTGCTCCTTTATAGGGAGGGTTTCAAGCTTGCCAAGGAGAGAATTTCCTCCTGGCCACAGATCTCATCTCCCAACTCCCACACTAGCCTCCTGCAAGGAAACTAGGAAAGGGGCTATAGATAGGTTCTGAATGGGACATCCTAGGGTATATTAGGAAGAGTTCAGAAATGGAAATCAGTCACTGTTAATCAGGCACCAGAATGTTAAGACTCACAATCAGAAGGACCGGAGTTCAAATCCTACCTCAAATCCTTCTGGCTATATCACCCTGGGCAAGTTACTTAATCTCCTTTTCAGTCTCAGTTTTTTATACCTGTAAAATGAAGTTAATAATAGCAACTACAAGGGAGGAATAGAATTTGGAACTCAAACCTTGAAAAGTTTTAAAAATTATTTTAACATGTAATTGGGAGAAAAATAAAATATTATTATTAAAAAATAATAGACACTACCTCACAGAATTGTTTTAAGGAACAAAGAAATAACATACGTAAAGAACTCTGGAAACAACAACAATAATACGTAGCATTTATGTAGCATCTACTACGTGCCAGGCACTGTGCTCAGCACTTTATAAATATTATTTCATTTGATGCTCATAACAAACCTGAAAGGGAGGGATTATTCCCATTCTGCAGTTGAGGACACTGAGGCAGACAGAGGTTAAGTGTCTGAGGCCATATTTGAATTCAGGCCGCTGTACCATGTAACTACCTTAAAGTGCTACATAAACAGTAACAATCTATCATTATTATTATTAAGAATTTATCGTATGTCTTGTGCTATGTTACATGCTGGAGACAGAAAGAAAAGCCAAATGAGTAGCTGTTCTCAAGGAGCATATGTTTTAATGGGGAAACAACATGTGAAGAAATGGTCACATTTAAGATCTATAAAGAGTAGATGGAAGATAACCTGAGAGGGGAGGGCCTCGGTCACCTACAAAGGGTAAGATGTGAGCTGGCAGAAACCAGGGATGCTAAGGGGCAGAGATGAAGGAGAGCAGTCCCAACATGGAAGATAGCCAGTGCAAATGCATGGATGTGGGGGAGATTAAGAAACATGTTAAAGGAACTGCAAGCAGGATAATGTGGCTGGATTGTAGAGCACATAGAGGAAGGAAAGTATAACACTGCAATTTCAGTAAGTGGTCACCTTGAAGAGCTTTTTAAATGACATGACTTTATATTTGATTCTGAAGTTAACAGGAAACCACCAAAGTTTTGTTTTTTGTTTTGAACAGAGCACTGACACAGGCAAACCTGTGCTTTAGGAAAATCACCTTAGCAGCTAAGTGGAGGATGAACTGAGTAGGGAGAGACTAAAGATGCAGAGATGGACCTAGATTCAGGAAGACCTGAGTGTGGTAGGTGCTATTACTCCAATTTTACAGATAAAGAGATTAATGACTCGCCCAGGGGCACACAGATAAGTGTCTGAGACAGAAATGGAACTCAGATCTTCCTGTACTTGATGGCTGCTAAGATCCCTTCTAGCTCTACATCTGTGAGTCCAGCTGTTTTATTTTTAGGCAAATCCTTTCCCTCATGTAGGTTTTATTTTCTTCCATCTATACAATGAAGAGGTTGAAGCAGATAATCTCTTCAAGTCCCTCCCAGCTCTAACACAGTAGAACTCTGTGTTCCTAATGGTCTAACTGGAGGAACAGAAGAGAGTGTGTGTGTGTGTGTGTGTGTGTGTGTGTGTGTGTGTGTAGACCATCATCCTTATAGGATATTCCAAAAATCTCAGTACACTTTTAAGCTTTTAAAGCTTATACATACAGAATATACACACATAAGCACAGAGCAGTACACTAAACATGTGTAACATGTGTAAATATATAAAGGATGTTCCAAAAGCATTAAGCTTTAAAAGCTTAAACTTCATTAAGATTTTGGGGGATACCCTACACATATAACCAGTGGGCAGTCCATTACCTCTCTTTGTATAAATCTTAAATGAATGGAAAAACCTTTCTACAGGTGCAAACATATAGTACAATCCCTACTGTTTTTCTTCTGAAAGAAAGAAAATACTTGAAACTGACTGACTTCTTCAAAATACTAAAGGAGTGGGAGTGGGGTGACAGTGCCCCTACAGACTGTTCTCTAGCCTTCTGCCTATTTGTGGGCGTGACTCTTTAATAGGATTTCCAGATGCTTTAGATGACTATCTCTTTAGCTTCACTCCACCTCCTAGTGAAGTAGGTAGGGTAGGTTGAAGGTTCTAGGTTTTAGAGGGATCTTAGAGGTCATCTGATCCAATCCCATGGAATTTAGCAAGCATTCATAAAGCTCCTGTTTACTAAATACTGAGAATAAAAGAAAAAGACAAAAAAATGAAGCTCATCTTGTTCCTTGGGAGTGTCCGTCCCAGGGGGGTGGGGGAAGACACACACGTATACACACACAGGCAAGATACAAAATACACAGATAAGTATGTATGCTAAGTATTCAAAAAGGACAGTTAGGTATGTATGAATGAATCTGGAGTTCTTTGGATTGGACTGGTTGGATTGGAATGCTTTAAGAATTGCAAAGTCACTTTGGAAACGATAGGTGGTAGTAGTAGTAGTGGTGGTGGTGGTAGTACAGTGGTAATAGTGGTAGTGTAGTAGCAGTAATAGTGTAGTAGTAGTGTAAGTAGTATAGGAGTAGCAGCAGCAGCAGTAGCAGTAGTAATAGCTATAGTAGTAGTAGTAGCAGCAGCAGCATACTAGTAGTAATCCAATCCAACCAATCCAATCCAAAGTAATCTTATTTTATAGGTGAGGAAACTAAGGCCAAGGAGATCAAATGACTGAGTCATCATCACATAGATAGCAATTGCCAGAAGTAGATTTGAGGCCAGGTGCCCCCTGCCTCCAAAGCCATTGCTCTTTCTACTGTACCCTTACAGATATCAGTG